TTGTATGGAGTTTTGACGGATTCGATTTTCGATTCGATCAAAAAGTGCGTTTTGTCTAAGGGGGCTGCTTTAGTGTATCTTCCTTTAATCCTTTTATTATTATATCGCTTTCCCTTCCTTGAGCCTGGGTATCATTTTTATCCCTTTTTTTTCCCAATTCCTAACATTATTAATAATGTAATAACAACTACAGTTATATCAGATAAATCAAAACTATTATAGGTCATGTGCTATTTATAAATCATAATGTATAAGTAATGATCAGGACATCATACAGCACTCCATTCAACGACCATTATTATCTGTCAAAGGCTCTCTAAGTGGATGTAAGTAGACCATAGGTCACACTACGAAATTCTGTTCTTTCTGTTAAAGAGGTAGTTTAAATGCATTAAAATTAAGTATCTTATAACAATTTGGAGCTACATTGTAATAATTTAATCTCTAACGAACGACCCGCCCCTGCTTCGCACAGGCACAAAGTATTATAACTTAAAACCTTACTCTTGAATCTAGTAAAAAAAACCGCATCAAAATCCGTTGCATAGTTTTAAATACCTAAGCATACCTACATAGGGACAGACAGACAGCAAAGCGACTTTTTTTGTAATAAGTATAATGTAGTGATAATGGGTATCATTTAAAATTAGTATTTGGGATCACAGTTTACATAATATTATGAACTAGTGTGACCACTACTATAGCACAAAATATAACAGAAGGTAAACTCCATACTAAGCGCGCTCGAGCCACGCACACATAGACACCGCTCACGTACGCGTTATTAATATTAAGACTGTCTTGGACGAATGCGAGGCGCGACTGCGTTCGCTTGAGTGACGTTGCTCACGAGTTTGTGTAATTATTTTGTTTGTGCGAAAATAGTAAACAACAAAAAAGGGGTATTATAACATTTGTTGAGTAGATGGTTGCTTACACTCAACATTAAAAACTAAATTTTTGTTTTTTAAACTACCAGTTGATTCCGGGAGGTAAGTAAGGTATTTATTTGTATTTCAATAGTTCGTTTAACGTTGACAAATTGAAATCCAACTCAATTATTAGGAATATCGAAGTGTTTTAAAGAGGTTTTAGGAAATATTCGATAATAGTGTCAACCACCCAACTACATACTACGTGATACTACTTCCTTCTCGTGTATTGTTTGCAAACTATTACTATAATAATAACGTACTAAACATAACTACATAATTATTCGTGGATAATATGGATATCTGTTATTGTCTTTCTTCCATAGTATTAAGAGTTACATTTTTCTATCATAACGAAATAAACGCAACACATGACAAGACAACCCTAGCGCGACGGCCAAGCGCGCGAAGTACATACATGAGTTTACCTTCTGTTATATTTTGTGACTATAGTAACGTTCAGCACTTTTATTTCGTCCTGATTTTATATTTACAGCATTATTGTAAACTAGCGGCCGCCCGCGACTTCGTACGCGTGGATCCCGTTTTACCCCCTTCATCTATCTTACGCGGTTTAGATTTTTTCATACAAATGTTTTTTCCCGCTAACTCCCGTTCCCGTGGGAATTTTGCAATATCCTGTTGTAACTAAGCTTTACGTTTACTAAGGTACCTGCATGCCAAATTTCAAGCGTCTAACTTAAGCGGTTTAGATTTTTCATACAAAAGGATTTTCCCGCTAATTCCCGTTCCCGTGGGAATTCCTAAGTATACTATAACCTGCCCAGGAGTATGAATAATAATTGTACCAAGTTTCGTTAAAATCCGTCAAGTAGTTTTTGTTTCTATAAGGAACATACAGACAGACAGACAGACAGACAGACGGACAGACAGACAGACAGACAAAAATTTTACTGATTGCATTTTTGGCATCAGTATCGATCACTAATCACCCCCTGATAGTTATTTTGAAAATATATTTCATGTACAGAATTGACCTCTCTACAGATTTATTATAAGTATATAGATAAGTTTTAACTTACAAATGCCTCAATTTCGTTCATTTTTTGCGCCTATCCCCTACACTGTGTTGTGATACATTCCCCGGTTGTTCACAAAGGCCAATTACGGCATCAGCCCGACTCCGGCTAATAGCCCATTAACTAGTTCGCTTTGATCTGCCCTGTGGTTAGGGCTGACTGCGAATTCATGGAATAAGTTTCACACAACTTCTGGTGACTATAATTAAAACTTTCATTCTATTTTGAGCTGGGAGGTGCCAAAGGATGTAAAACTAGGAATCCAACGTCTCATTTTGTCTGGAGTCTTGTAAATCTTCGTTCGTTCGTTTCAGCCGAAAGACGTCCACTGCTGGATAAAGGCCTCCCCTAAAGGAGTCTTATCTTACCCTAATAATATTACGATTAATGGATTGACAACCCAACCCGTCTGGCCAGCGTGGGGAGTGTAGGTCAAAACCTCCATTTGCCTCTGGTGAATTAAAGAGAGTCCTGCAGTGGAGACTAAATGACCTGATGGGGGAATGGATTGACAAATTGATGTTTCTTACTTTTTCACATAAAACTACCGAAAGAATTTTGATGAAACTTTATAGACTAGAGTTTATAACGATATTATAAATCCACGCGAGCTAGCGCGCTTGGTTTTTGCAAGTAATATAGTAGTGACTACATCAAATTGCTATAATATTTTAAATGAACTCAAATAAACCAGATTTAACAGTACCCTCCATAAAAAAATAAAGGTAGTACGTAACCACTACGGACAGCGTGACCCTGAGTTGTTAGCTAAATACTCAGAAAAAAGGACTATTCCCATGTCTCGTTCCTATTATTTTAACGGGTTAAAAACTGAACCGTTAATAAAATAAATCTCAAACAGTACAAATTAAGCCCCGGGGAAAGATTAACTGTTCGTCAGTCCAGCTCCTGGAATATCTCTATTCCTAAAACAGCGCATATTTTCAGAACTAAAGCAAGTTATACACTTAATAACATTATGTTTAACCGCCCGCGACATCGTACGCGTGGATCCCGTTTTACCCCCTTAGGGGTGGAGTTTCGTAAAATCCTTTCTTAGCGGATGCCTACGTCATAACCATACCTACATGCCAAATTTCAGCCCGATCCGTCCAGTGGTTTGGGCTGTGCGTTGATAGATCACTATGTCAGTCAGTCAGTCAGTCAGGCAGTCATCTCTGAGTTATGTATATTTAGATAACACGACGGGGATGTATGGGCAATTGTATGTTAACTATTAATCTTGGTGGTTACTAAGAAATGCTACTGACCAGCAAAATTGTTTGGTAGCCCTGTGCCATTTAACGAAATTTCAGCCTATCACATTACTGTAACATAAACCATATCACTGGTATGTAAGGCTTGGATTCAGTTGTACAAGTATTTGCTATAATGACAAGGCATTGTGTTGTTAGTGAAAGAATGGGTTCAGAGAACGGTTCGAGCAAAAAGGTAATATTTAAGGCTAATGCCGCCGTCAGTGTATAATAGGCTTGAGCGATGGCAGAATATTAATGTTTGCATGTAAATTGATTAAATACCTCATGTATGAAGCCGACGTGATGAGGGTCTGTTTATGCTTTGTGATTGTGACTCAATTTCGTAAGACGAGTGAATGTCGAATTTGAGGTAGGAGCGGCACATTGAAGGCTTATCATAATATCATAGGTCCTACATAATATTAACATTGAGTTTCTTAGCATAGCACAGCAAAAGTTTACAAAGAAATAAATTATTATTAAAAGTTACAATTAAACGTGTTACGATTAAAGAGGTAAATAGTTAATACAAATAAGAATGAAAACAAAATCTATATATATAAAAGAAAGTCGTGTTAGTTATTCCACTTATAACTCAAGAACGGCTGAACCGATTTAGCTGAAAATTGTCAGGGAGGTAGTTTAGAGCCAGGAGAAGGACATAGGATACTTTTTATCCCGTTCGAAATAAAAAAAAAGTCTGCTTATTTATTGCCATTAAGGCGGAACAAAGTTCGCCGGGTCAGCTAGTGTGGTATAAATTATTTTTTCACCGCAGTGAGGCCAGGTAACTGACTGTAAGGTTAGTAAGTATTAAAAATAATCGCAGGAATGCGTAATTTTATGAAAAATCAGTTAACTTAGTTATCAGTGAAAACTGGATGGCAAATTCTTATTCATTTGTCAATAGGAATCAACCCAGGACATCTAACTCCGTATTATGTTCAACTTTCTGAACACAAAAACTACACTTACGCCCGTATTTAATTCACAAACGATACTTGTTTAAGTGAAGCAGCAAATCGAACGCACAGAGTTGAATAGAGCTCTGTGATTGGTTCGTGTGTCACGTCACCCTGTGCGTGCACGCGCACTGTGAGACCTCATAGTAATGTTTGTGAATACGGGCGTTAATGCGCTCAATGCGTAAAATCTGTTCAAATAATACACAAAAAAAGTATCTAAACCCATTTAATACAATGTTCACCCTAGTGAAAACATTTTACCGATTCGGTCAAAGCTAAGGGAAAAAGGTATTTTCTTAAACAATTTAATTAAACCTATCGATTCCAGTCAAAAGTCCGTGATATCTCACTAATTGAAAGTTTCGAATATTTTTGCCAATTTTATTAGGTACGGCTCAGATAAATTGCCTCCTCGGGGATGCCTCGACGTAATTTATGAGATATTCGTATATTAATTTGAAATTCAATAGTGAAATTAAGTTCATTAGTATTATCGTGCAGCTGTCAGAGACAAGGGTTAAACAAATTATATTTGAACAATTTGTTTTATCAGAGGAAAAATACTTATTAACAACTTTACAATTTTAACATCAGAAAGTTGCGAATTGATTGTTGACTAAAGTTTAAAATTAAGCCAACCAATTTTCAAATAAATAAATAAAATCATTTATAAAAGTTAATCCGTTACAATGAAAACTCTAATAAAAACAATAATATCGGGTAGCATTGTGGGTTGTGGTCCACCACAGTACACGCGTACAAATTTCCAACAAGCAAAAAATCCAACAAAAATTATTTACTTACAGCATGATTATTTTGTATCACCTGCATTCTTCAGACTCGGTTATGATCACCACAGTTTTAATTGTACTAATTAATTGTTAACTATACCACACTTCACACTTTAATTAATTTTAGAAAACATTTTTGTTACACTCGACACGGAGCTTACAGCTGCAAATTCAAAATGGCGGAAAAATGTTCTCTATTACACGTCAATAAATCGATGACAAAGGCACACATAAATAAACAGCCTAATATTCCTGGCAATTGAGAACACGCGCGCGCGCGCGTTCGAAATTTGAATTTATTCGAAAACATTCAAACGCGGCGCTGTCACCCGAGTGTGTTTGCTTTGGAAAACCTCTTGGGAAGTTTTTTTTTAAATATTGCTATAGCTCTAGCGCCTGACTGAGAGAGTTTGATTTTTATTTTGATTTTGAGTTCCTTAGGTATGGGAGCGGCACGGGAGGGGAGATTTTGACATAAATTAAGACGTGACACAGCATACAAATCTGAAGTCTCGCTGACATTTTACGTAACAAAAGACTATAAGTAGCTAATTGTTTTTGCCTTAAGAATTAAATTAATGGCGCATGTAATATCAGACTTCTGTCTGGCATCCTGGCACTACGCCAGTGGCGCTCTCTGGCGCTAACTTCTAACATTGTTCTACACGTCACTTGGAAACCTGAATGGTATCTTTGTGCTTACTACAATAAACGGCCATAATGTACGTCCAATATTGTAGACGTTACAGAATTCTACTTCATTATTGCACAGTCATTTTAAAAGCTCAAATGAAGAATATCACTATCGGCGTCTTCGGTTTTACTTTTTCTTGACTTAAAATGTTTCCTGAATTTAAAGTTTCATGTTCTATTTAATCACATTTTTAAAGGGACTCAAACTCTAACAAAGCGACTTAAACTAGGCACCCTTTGTGTGGCAGCTAGATAACGAATAAACCTTTGTGTTGCTGTTAATCAAAGGCTATACCTACTATAACCTTATAAAAATAAGCTGTTTTAATTAAAACACTGTTTCTTCCCTTTATAGTATATTATGATGGTGAAATCAAATATTGATTTATCAATAAGGGTTTGGCCAAACCAATGCAATCAGCCGGCGTACACGACGGCGATAGCGATCAGTCTTAAAAGCATTGATCGCCATCGCCATCGCCTTCGCGCACGCAGGCTGATCGCGTTGGTTTGGCCATACCTTAAAAAGGAGTTAGACTTAAAAGCACTCTGCCGTTTCATTTGAACCTAAAACGACATTAGATAAAGTTATACATTTTAATAAAACAGAAAGCACCTTTCCGTAACGACACAACCGTATCCCATTGCGGCGGCGCTGCGGTCTTATGAGTGTTATTATGTAACGCGAGTGCATGAAGCGAGGCAGGGAAGCGATATTAGCTGCTAAGCACCTATGTTGTCGCGGAAGAGAACTAATTTAGTCTTGACGAGGTCGGATGATGTTATTTTTTACCGAGTACAAAAAAGGAGGTGTTCAATTCAATTGTATTTTTTGCGTTTTTGATGTTTAAACGCGTTTTTAATAATACATGTTTTTATTGGTCTTATTTACTGAAAATAATAATTAATCCTACTTAGTGATAACCAGTTTTGCATTTACTTTTTTTTTCTATATCAAATAATATTCTTTGTATACCAACATGTGGCTATAAATAATTTAAATTTACACTTATTTTTTGTTCGGATTATTCAATTCGTATGTTTTTATTCTTTAATTAAAATAATATCGATACACCCGATGATTAAAATTTACTTACTGAAGCAGATAAACAAATTAATAATAATAATAAAAATGTTTTATTTGACAAAAAGGGCGACATCATATACACAAAAATTAAGTACCTAATTATGACAATTGGTATCAAGAGTAGGGAATGACATAATGAAGGAATAAGGACTGTAGGTATTATAATTACCGATCGATAACAGAAAGTTGTAAAACAAACACAGAAATACTCATTTTTGAATGTTACTCAATCTTGTTATCACTTCTCTTCACTTTCTACGCCGAGGAATCCGAAGAGGGTCCGATGTTAATTACGAGCCAACCCAAAAAACACTAATTGGGCATCTTTTAATGAGTTTCTGATTGTAAGAGTTCGATGGGCTCGTGTTTACCGACGGCTCAAAAATAGGGTACCCTTTGATGGATTCCAACGTCTTAAGGGTTCTTGAGACAAATTAATATTGAGTGTACAATCAATAGACAATTTGAGATTATGATGGTTTTTGACCACTTAGCACTCTTTGTACACGTTTACTGCCAGCATTGGCTACTAGTTTAAGCAGCGCTGGTAGTCAAAGAAGAAGAAATCGTGTATCGCACTTAGGTTGTAATTGGTACTCTTTTCGAAATCGGGCGTTAGACTCGAACTCCCTACGAGTCTTGCTTAAGTGAAGCAGCAAATCAAACGCACAGCGTTAAATAGAGCTCTGTGATTGGTTCGTGTGTGACCCTGTGCGTCCACGCGCACTGTGAGACCTCATAGTAATGTTTGTGAATACGGGCGTTACAAAAATACGAGTACGACTGCGTGTAGGCATACGAACTTGATAGAAAATCTGCAACTGTTTCTTTCCCTCTCTATCTTTCTCTGTAAGTGTTTGAAAATGAAAAAAGAATCCAATCGTCAAAACAGAACCAGAGAAAATACTGATCAGTATTCAAAACAGAGCAAATTCCACTTAACCTACTTTAGTCTGAGCTTAACATTTCGGCTGCGAGTTCTTTTTCCAAAGTTGGCGTAATCCGCAAAAACCCGAGGGTCGGAAGTTTTGGAAAACACATACTAGAGATCTGAAAGGTAGGGTCCCTTTCAACTGAGGCTAATCTTAATGTACAAATTAGAAATAACCCCACAAAATTAGATTATTCCAGCTTAATACTGTGAAATATTTCCTACTCCAAATGTCATAATTATGTAGTATAGGTAATGTAGGTAGGTACTTTAGGTACTTGTTATTTTAGAGAGACACCAAGCCCTTTCTACACATCTACTTATGTCAAACCCGGTCACCACTCGTCCCTGGTCTACATTCAAAGAAAATTTATTTCACGATAATTATTTTGTGATGTTTTTAGCAAGAATGATTTGAGATTACTTTCTTCTACTTTATTGTGGAAAACATAGTCTACTTTTAAACCATTGTTGCCTTCTGAATCCACTTTGAGTTGAGCAAAGGCCTTTTGTCGATAATGGAAAATCTTTCAGACACTTTCTTTACAGGCTAACCATTTCAAAGAGTTTTCCGTGGACACTCTTGGCAGCGAGCTTCGCGGAAGTGACTAGAAGGACATGAGTATGTCTGTGACGAATTGCTTAACTTTGAAACTTACACCCTTGACTTTGGATCTGGCTGTAGCAAGAGGAAAATGTTTTCCCGACTGAATACTAAATAAAAATCTCAAAGGAAAATGTGCGGTGTATTTCATGGTCATTTAAGTTATTTCTTGGGCCACATTTTTCTCGCATGCTTACAGGACAAGCATAAATTTTAATTTAGAATGGTTTTCAATGTTTTTTTAAAGCTCCATTTACGAGTATAATCATTTTCGAAGGTAGGAATAAAACATACAACACTTCAGGTTGAAATTCTTTAAGCTATTAGAGGGATATACCAACACAGACTCGCGTCAGCAGTATAATGACATTACCCTCGTTTCCTGAAAGAGTTGACGGCCCGTTCTACCCACATATCGCAGCTTAGGGCGGCGCGCTCGTGCGTATGCTGGTTGCGTGACTCCATGCTTTTAGCCAAGGGCAAACATATTGAGCCGATTATTCCCTATTCCTGTGGTATATTTTATTTTTAGGGATTTATTTTATACCACGTGGAAAAGCTCTTCTGTCTCGAATTTCATTGTTAAACATACGTGTTGAAATGAAGAATGCGATGGAAAAGTGGTCATTTAATTAAGAACCGTAGCTTAACTATGAGTAAAAACAAAACAAAGTAAAGAAAAGATGAATGTAAAATGTAGTGGAATGGCTTTGAATCATTTTCCTAAAACAATAGGTACTTAAAACAAATTATAAACCTAACAGAATTTATATCAAAACCATTTTTTTTTCAAGAATTCTTTCATTTATCTTCTTTATCTATTTTAAAGTTCTAAGAAAAATCAGCAATTACATAAATATTATGTCTATCTGTCTGATAAGGTTGGCTCACTGTAACCTTTTTTATGCAAACCAAATGTTTTGAAATAATGCATTTATTTGCAAAGGTAATGGACATGATTTTAATCCTTATCCAAATAAATTAATTTATTATCTAGTTTAAAATTATTCATCACAAGCATTTAATTTTAAACATACTTGCCCTTTACATCATTCGATTTCAATAAATATTTTAGAAGATATTTATCGCAGTTTTAAAATAACATCGCAGCAAATAATGAACACGGTTGGTAGCGGCCTGCATCCAGCGCCTTCCCGCTACCTTTATCAGGTCGTCGTATCACCTACCAACCGTGCGATGTGGAAGTCATTGGGGGAGGCGTATGTTCAGCAGTGGACGTCCTGTGGCTGAAATGATGATAATGATGATGAAATAATGAACAAGCATTGCGCGCGTCTCTGATAAATCAATACACAGCATAAACCGCTAATCGTAGAGACCTGAAAATTGGACGGTGTGTTCTTTGTATGATGTAAAAATTTGATAAGAAAGATTTTTCCAAAATTTACCCCTAAGGAGATAAGGGTGGGGGGGCGGAATGTTTGTATGGGATAACGAGATTTATATTTTTAATAGGTTATGTGTTTCTTTCAGGAAGTGTATTTTCACATGTTAACAGCGCTATGTAATCGCTGGGAAGGGGTATCTTTATTCAACAATAATGTCGAAACTTATACTTATGGCCGTTTTCACCATCAATCCTTAATTATTAAGTGACCCCTATGAAAACAAAATTCCTGTTATGTGTTACCATAAGAGTCACTTAATTTTTCTAATTTATGAATCTTGTGTCTGTCTTCTACTTCTACATACTAATAGATAAAATTGTTCAAGATTACGCCCTTTAAAGCACAGCTTAAAGTTTGATCACTATATGCTCGGACACACTGTATACTTTAATGTACAGTCACGGAATGAAAAGGTTCGTCACCTTAGTGTCGGTTTTCGCTTGCACTAGGTACTGTAAGAGTCAAACCTGTACTGTAAGAGTCAACATAACAGTGCAAGAAACAGTGCTGCTAACAATTAAATAAATTATGACGTTTGCTAACGAATAAGGTTTTAACAACGTGTCTTAAAACGTTATAGACTAGACTAGGAACATTGTGGATGCCAAAGTGCAGCATCTGTTGAAATGTTTTTTTATTTCTAAATTATTTAATTGTTTTTTTTTCGCAGACGATGTAATTACAAAATTACTAATGTGTTTTCATAGTGAGAAGAGAAAATCGCTTACTTAATATAAAACTGCTCATGTAAAGATTCCAGATTTACTAACGCCATCTTTTACACTTTCAGTCAAACCATTTTCCAGTCTATAGTACGAGACACCACCACAACCTTTTGTAAGTAGGCACAGAGGGAATGGAAAAGTACAGCCTTTTAATGTATGTTGGCGCCGACAGATGGCGTTACACGTTCCTGAAATGAGCAAACGTAATACAAAACTACACTCAAACAAAGATTATTATTGATAAATAAGTGATTTATAAAACTACAAACATCACGATACAAATGCTTCTCACATAAAAAACTGTTGTCAAGCATATAATATATTTTTTAAACACTTTTTATAGTGAAATTACCAAAGCAACAGTTAATTTAATTCAATTCAACTTTTAATAAATTTCTTGTGTGCATTATTAAACGTTAAAGAAGTGGTACTTCCTGCCGGGAAAGCATATCTAAATCCTGTCACTTTAGCCATCAAAGTGGCCCTATATTTTCCGACTATACAAAATTTCTTCTTCTTATACAACGTCAACTACGTCGACAACAAACCTACACAGTGTCAGCCCAAAACTCCGCCACAAGAGTGGCGTTATCAGCAGCATTCATTAAATCCTTCTGAGTGCAGTTGCTCGGGCACTCAGGGCACGACCGACGTCATGTGCTTCATCGACTGGGGAACAAAACCGCACCTGCACTCCATGTTTGAGCGACCGACCTGCGTTCGAAGTTTATTTAAAGACTTCGACTTTAAAGTCTATTTAATGATTATACGAGTATGTCTTATTCCTTCTCTTTCCAAAACTACTAGATGGTAGTACCTACTAATGGGGTTATTCAGTCTTGCGGGCACCGTGACACGGGGACAGGGAAGGGTCGCCGCGGTTGCGGGAGGCTAATTTGGAAATCTGATCGCAATCTACTGTGACCCTTAAGCCTGAAGGAATTTGGGAATAATTCGCGTGTTATCACAATTTAACAATTATCGTTAAGACTTAATCTAAATTTAATCTTAATAGTATTGTAAAATACATTATTATTAACACAGAGTGAGCGAGAACTGCGACAAACGATGCAGGCGAACTTTTTGTTGGGACTATTTTATATCGAAGAATTATTTGTTTTCTTCTGCTCCTGCAACACAAAAAAGTATCAGTGATAAAAAAGTAAAATATTACTGTGGGTTTTTCCTACAACCGACGAATTCTAAAATATTTACCCCCTTACTAATAAAAAGTTACACAGTTGTTGAACACTGTTTTAAAATGACATTTCCATACTAAACGTCACTTTAAAACCTTTTTCAACGAGCGTGTAAGTTTTATTAGTAAGGGGGTTAGACTTTTGTTACAGCAAATTTAGCAGTTTTATTCATTTACCTCCTTCAACGATGGACGAACCTTTCTCGTTCCATTTTTGCTTCATACTTGTTCCAAATGCGATGTAGAAAACTCCTCCAGTTAAATATAAAGCTGCGCTCAAGTTGAAAACATAGCGCCAATCGGATAAATCACTCTGAAACAATAAAAATACAGATAAAACTCTAAAATTTAAAATTGCTAAGCACCACGCTATAAATCTTTGGTAAAAGTAAAGTATGTACAATAAATGTACGTACATAAGTAGTTCAAAATTGCAGAACTTAACGCCCGTTTTCGCGCATGTATTTAAATTAGTGCAAAAAAAAATCGCTGTCGATTATCTATCATCCTTCATTATATATTATTATCATTACTTGATCTCATTTCGTAACTCGTATCACATAAATACTTGAAAATGGCACAGATCAAGTCGACCTCCACGTGTATTGCCAACATCATCAAAAAAGAAGAAGAAGAAAATCGCTGTCAATATTTAAATTGGGAACGCTTACGCTGTCGCGAAGTTCGAAATTTGAATTACGCGTCAACGCGCAGTCAATGACGAGCGGCGTGTGCATGCGTGTTTCGTGCCGCTTAAAAATTGTTATTTAGTGTAAAGTACGCAAAAATGTGGTGATTTCTGGCTGTGATTGGATTCCCTAGATACAGCAGGCTATTTAAAAGTGAGAGAACGGTGGACTTTTTCATCTTCACGTGGTGGATCACCGGTGAGAAGACTCGTGATGTGCTACAAGTAAGTGTCCCTATCGTTTGTATTTTTGATTGTGTGTTCAGGACGCGAAGCGGCCGCTGTATTCCTCACTTGCCCATTTTCTAAGTTTTTTTTTTTCACTTTAATTGATGATAGTACCTATAGTACTACATAATTTACTCAACCCACTATTTTGTGTGGATTTGCGGTATAAGTAGGTACTATTTAGCGCTCACAATCGCAATTATATTATTAAAAGTTTAATTATGTTATCGTTTGTACCTATCCCCGAACTAAAAATAATATACCTGATAGGTTACTTTTAAAAAAATCTGATAACTTACATGGTCTTCCAACATCACTCCAGCAATGAGAGGCGCAAATATTGACACCACATCAGCAAAGCCGACTGTAGTTCTTTTTAAAATGTTTGAAAAATTTGGAGCCATCTCCTCGTGACTAGACTGTAACATAAAAAAAAATTGACATTTATGCAAATAGGTTGAAGTTAAGGGCAAACTTTATTCCATTATGGGATATTTTATTTAAAAATTAATAACTTACCATGAATCCAGAATACTGCCCGGCATTGAGCGCCATAAATAAAATGAGCAGTGAGGCGGTAACTTTGAGATCAGTTGCTATGTACACCATTGCTATTAAACAAACTGCTGGTCCAATGAAACCTAATAAGAAATAGTAAAAATTAGGTAAATGGTAGCACAGATCTAAACTAAAAAAACAAGAAATTTCTGGAGTAAAAATAAACAGTATTAAGCCATTGTATGCATAGTTACCAATAGTGTTAAAAATCTTTCTAGTAACTGTAGCACTCAGATGTTTCCTCTTGATAATACAGTCTGATGCGCATTGGAATGGAAACACCATTAGAAACATTTCGAAGTAAGATGCAGCTATGATGACACCAATCTAAAATGGTAAATTATGAAAAGACTCATTCTTAACGCAATTGACTATCGTTATTGAGTGTAAGAACCTAAATAAATAAGTAAATCATCTAAATAATATAAAAGGAGAAACTGACTGACTGACTGACAGATCAACGCACAGCCTAAACGGCTAAACGTAGGCACTTGAAATTTGGAAGGGACGTAGCTTAGGTACCGTAGAGGTGCACTAAGAAAGGAATTCCCGCAATTCCCACGGGAACGGGAATTAGCGGGAAAAACGGGATTCACGCGTACGAAGTCGCGGGCGGCCGCTAGTATTCTATAAAATGTGATGTTAGAATTACTCTAAAAGGGTTTCTTACCAAATCAATTTCAACATTATAAGCCTGGCTCAAATATATCGGCATCATAGTCATGATTGTCCACATGCCCCAATGCTGGGCACAGCAAGCCAACACCAGGGCAAAAACTGGCAACGAGGTCCACAGAGATTGCCAGGGCATTTTGAGATTCTGTGAATAGATACAATCAAGTTATGTAAAGACTTAGAGCTATAAATCATACATAGTATAATGGCATAGTTGTTGCATTTGATTTGCAAGTCGTTAAACGATCAAGTACTAAATCACGATAGTGACTGAAAATATTTATATGAGTTTTCAGAAACTGTTTAATCATTAAGGTTTATTAATCTAAAAATAATTATTTTGGTCCATTCATCGTTCACGTGTTTTTTAGAGACTCATTCAATGATTAGACGATCGAGTCAATTAACAATTGCCAATCATAAAATATTGATAAAATAAACAATACATAATCGATAAAATAAGTCAAGTCCATCAATCGTTGATTATAATACTTTAATCTATTTAGGATAACGTGAGTGATCGATAAGTAATACTTCATTTAAATATTTTAAACTTTAATCAAGATGTCTGACTGAAAACTCGCTAAGAGCACCAATAGACTGGACTCTGTACTGTGGTTAATCATAATTCGTTATCAAAAAATAAAACACCTGTGAGAAAAACCATGCGACATATCGGATTACTAAATAAAGACAAGGCTAATACTAAACAATACTTTTTAAGTTTAAAATACCCACCTTGCGTTCAGTCTCTTGCGACAAATGATCCTGAATATAAAGTTTTTCCTCCTCGCTGATGTATCTAGAAGTTGCAGCATAACTTGATCCAAATCCAAAATCCAAAACCGCCTCTGTGGTCTAGTGGTAAGACCACCTGCTTCAGACGCAGAGGTCCCGGGTTCGATTCCCAGTGGGGGCAGATTTTTCTGTTCGGTTTGGTTGGTGGTAGGGCTTGTTCTAAGTCCGCCTGGCTAGCTACCACCATCTTACCTAAGTCTGTCGCCATAACAACAATGTTAACAGCATTGTTGTGTTCCGGCAGTTAGAGGTAAGATAGCCAGTTCCTCCGTGGTTGAGGATTCCGGGTGAAGCTCGCTTCCACCTTCGGCCTGATCGTCACTTACCATCAGGTGAGATACAGGCCAAGAGCTTCCTCGTTGTGGATAAAAAAAAAAAAAAAAAAAAAAATATTACGTAGATGACACACCAAACCACCCCGGTGATGAGGTTGATGAAGAAAGTTGTTTCCCACCCCCAGTATACTATGATGAAACCTGATTTTAAAAACTGGAATGCTGCTCCTAGCTGCATACCTGCAATCATTAAAGTTAGGTACTCTAATACCGTTAAGAATTCACTGTTTTCTTATTTTAACCCNAAAAAACAGCGAAAATAATTAAAATTATTAGCCGGTGCGTAGACGCCTGTCAGTGGTCTGACATTTTGTATATTACTGATAAATCTGTGCAGCCTGTAGCGATTCTATACTGTGTAACACAATCTGTAGTATTTGGGCTAATGTTATATTAAAAAAACAATTAAAAATTGTTTTTGGTTTCTCGCCCATATTTTTGTTTTGGTCAACGTATCTTTAAATGCACAATGCCAAGAAAAGGGTTAAACTTTTTTTTAAAGGTAATTTATTTTGTTTTTGCACAATTTACTGATAGTATCGCTATCCCCTCGTACTAAGCTAAATATGCTCGTGTCACGAGTAGGCTCACCACAATAGTCGAGTGGCGGCGGGATTCAAACCCGCGTACCTCGGATCTCGAGTCGGCCAGTCCGACCCCTTCACCGTTCGGCTATCGTGGCTTCAACTTTAGTTAAGTACTACGTCACGACTCCAGATATTAGTAAAAACCCACCGCATACAATTATTAAAGTTTCCATAAGTCTTCTATTTTTTTCTGGAATCCAGTTTTCCAAGAGGTGATGAACAGCTGGTATCATGGTCCCTTGCGCCAGGCCCTGTATGCCGCGACAAAAGCATATCAAAAGCCATCCGCCCTGAAAAAGAAATGGGCAAAAACATTTTTAAATGATTTGTGATTGATGATCTAATACTAACGTTAATATCTTATGGAGGAAGTAGGTAAATAATATTAATATCAATATCTAAACTATTCATTTTATTGTTAAGATATTATTGAATTTTATAACTTGGTAACGAGGCAACGAATGATTGGCTAAATGACGTCAGAGTACAACAATAAAACTAAGTTTAATGTATGTGGGACGAAGACTTTGAGTGACGTCACGTCATGTCTGCCAACTCCGAATTAGGATGCGTAAAAGCGTCACAAAGTGTCGTCTCAATGGGGATGTTGCCTGGGTCAAAAAGCAAGAGTTTTAATTAGTCCGTCAGTTAACTTATCAAAAAATACTCTACACGTATTTTTCACTTTTTCAAACTAATGAAAATTTAAAGAGATAAAGCGCCCCAAAGTTCATAAGAAGAGGCCCGTGACGTCAACGCTTGCTTAAAAATGCCGCACGTTGTGACGTCGTGCGCAACTTCAACGCACCATAACTATGTAATTATTTGTTAGATTGACAATTGACATTACGGACTAAAAAAATTTTTTTAGGCAACTAGCCTATTGTCTCAAAAATGTCCCTAACATTTTTTAGACTTTAACAAAGTTATTTGCTGTGACTTATTCTAGAGAGTAATCCTACTAATATTATAAAAGCGAAAGTTTGGATGTCTGGATGAAAGTTTGTTACTTTTTCACGCAAAAACTACTGAACAGATTTTGATAAAAATTTACAGTATTATTCTTTATAACCCAGAATAACATATAGGCTATATTATGACGATCTGTAACAAACTAAATTTCACGCGGTTGAAGCCGCGGGCAAAAGCTAGTAACGTATAATTTCAAACATCAAAAGACAAATACTTACATCATACGCACCTAAAGGGATGAAGGCGGACAGGCCAGCACTGACGGCTACTCCAACTGTCATGAGAAGCTTTCCCCCAAACCTCGAAGCTAGGACGTAACCCGCGGCCTGGGAGATCACATAGCCCACAATGAAGGAGGACAGAACCACCCCTTGTGTGGAGATCGGCCAGGCTAAATACTGAAAGCAAATTAAAAACTAGTTTAGGTACTTTTACCAATAACATCGAAAAATAATTTTCAACAATTGAATATAAAATATGCAAAAGGTGTTGAATGTTGGAAATCGTTTAGCACTAAGAAGCTGGTTCGTTCTTGTTTTTCTGTTTCATGAAGTACCAAATGACCTCGTTTTTCTTGTGAGTTAAAAGTTAAGAAAATCGTTAGGGGAAAGGCTGTAATATTAAGCGTTTAAATGAAAAAGTGTCAAACAAAGCATGAGTAAGTTTTTTGTCTTGGTTAATTTGTAGATTCAACATTATAAACGGATAATCTTATGGCAAGATATCGCCCTCATATTGATTCTCTACTTCGAAATAACGGGGTTGAAACTATTGGACAAACTTCTGACAAAAGACATTGTAGGTACTTCTTATCACTTACTGTGTATCCCTCCCAATCCATACTAGGTGGGGCAGTCATATCCACGATGGCGATGCTAATATTCACTCTCATCCCGAAGGCCAGAGCCATCCCAAGGAACAGCAGGAACACTTGCACATGACGATAGCCAATCCGTCTGTGAAGGTTCAATGATTTAAAAATCTATAACCAGCTAATTACAACTGATATCTAAACAAAAACAAGCTTTAAGGACATTAAGCATAAAATTTAGGTTATAGTAATAGCCGCCAGTTTGCAACGGAAAAACGACTGAACAACGGCTAGACAATCCCACTAATTTATAAATGCAAAAGTTGTATGGATGTCTGGATGTTTGTTACTCTTTCATGCAAAAACTACTGAACGAATTTTGATGAAACTTTTCAGTTTATAACCCAGAATAATAGGCTATAATTTATGATGATATGTGACAGACTAAATTTCACAAAAGCTAGTTAAAATATATTAATTTTTATCATACATTTACTCTACACCGCGTATACAGCTAATATTTTTCTCATCCTCAACGGGATTCGAATCCACTACCGCAGATCTGCGCAGACAGCCGTTATCAACTTGGCTTAAACATTACTCATCATAAAAATTATTATAAACAAATAAAATATAACAATTTTGTACTTGCTTGCAACGGTAGACCCTTCTTCTGTCATTTTGTTTGATAGCACTAATCAATATCAATATAAACAATAAATCACAAAGTCATGTTTCTGAATACAAGTCCGAATCAGATGTGTGAGGCCACAGATTGCCGGTTGAATTTGGACCGATCGGATTATTTTATCTTTTCGATATTAGAACGGCGATATCAAAAAGATAAAGTATTGTATGTATTACATACATTTGCTATAAACACACATTTTCGATTATAGGTATACTTTTATGATTATTTTATCTTATAACAGATGAAATATTTTGCTTCTACGAGTAAATTACCTACATATTTTTCAGTTTATGAAAATGCTTCGGTAGTAATGGCATCGCCTACCGCGCTCACCCCACCAAAATTCAAATCCAGGACCCGTTACTATCCATGCTATAATTTTCTTTACGATATTTGGGGAATATTAATTAGTAGCAACGTCACTTCTGTGTTGTAGGTATAATAATAAAAAAAAACATTTTTTTACAAGTTAAACAAAGTTCTTATAGAAAATCAATGTATTTCTAATTAGTCTTATGAAGTCTTTTCTGTGTCTTCTTTTTTCTCCACATCAGCACCTGGAATCAATTTGGGTGTTTAAATTAAACTTTTTTTAAAGAAGGATTATTTTCTTTTCTTTTCTAATGCGAGAAGATCTATCTTACTGCACTGTATTTCGTTCATAGCTTGATATATTACCGAAAAATTAAATTAACTAAGTCTATACGTATCGCTTTTCACATTCCGCGTAAAAATATTTATTTTGCTTTGGCACAATTTTTACGAATCTAAATAAAACATTATACCTTCAGATCTATCTGGCTCGTTCCAGCCTTGTCTCTCGCTACTGCCGAAAACGAGATAGAAGATATTGCAGCCGATGTATATCGCTGACGATAGGTAGAATACCTTTCGCCAATCGTTCGCGTCCGTCTGAAAGATAACGAAATAGATCATTGATAAATAATAATGCTTTTGCAATTGATAGCAAAGAAATAATGTCACGTACACACGTGCGTACGTTATCAAAAGTATTTTGATGTACTCATTATAAAGCAAGTTCTACAAAGAGCCTACTTACGATGCTAACTCTGCTATTTTCAGCACGTAGGCTGGGTTGCAACATTTTACTTGATCTTTAACAAATCTGTCAAACTCCATACAAAGAACACCGGTTATTGTCATAGTTACGGTTAAAATAAGTTGGTGCAACTCAGCCTTAATATTATAAAACTCGTCTACAAAAATATAACAGTGTACATTACATCTTATACAAACCTCGTCTTTCAATATCACTCCCGCCGCAAGAGGGGCGAATATCGACAGAACGTTGGCGAAACCATTGGTTATGCCATTCATGGTGCCGGCGAAATTGGGCGCCATGTCGATGTGGCCCAACTGAAAATTAAATTTTATGAAATGAAAATAATGATGTAGAGGGTGATTAAAAAATAATAGGCGTAGGAAAGTAGAATCTTGTGATTAAAGAATGGACTTAATTCTATATCTATTAGGCCAACGGCGACGTACGAGTATTTTGTGCCAAAGGAGCAACGTTATCTAATAAAAACAACATAGAATGGGTATTATGACTAATATTATACTGACTAATAGACATATTATGATTAATATTTTCAATCCTCTATCTTTTATTACAGCCAAATTATAAAAAAAGTAAACTAGAAACTTATTATTTAAGAAAGAATAGGCAAAACAAATTGGAGTGTTTCTTGAATCTTACCAAGAAGCCGGTAAAGTGGCCGGCGTTTAAACTCATCACGAGGGTCAGTAGAATGACTGCGATGGTGACGTCAGCCGGGGAGTAAGACAGGCCGATCAACGCAAAACCGGGACCGAAGAAGCCTAAAAATACATAACATTATCTTCACAACAGAAGAACTAAAGTAACCGACATAGCTCGCAGAATTGCTAAAATCAAGTGGCAGTGGGCGGGGCACATAGCTCGTAGAGACGATGGCCGTTGGGGCAGGAAAGTTCTCGAGTGGCGACCACGGGCTGGAGGACGTAGCGTGGGCAGGCCTCCTACTAGGTGGACCGACGATCTGGTAATGGTCGCGGGAAGAGCCTGGATGCGGGCAGCTCAGGACCGTTCATTGTGGAAAACCTTGGGGAAGGCCTTTGTCCAGCAGTGAACGTCATTTGGCTGAAACGATCTTCCCAACTTGTTTAATCAAATAGGTACTACATAGATGTATTCAAGATACTTCTTTCAAATACGTTCATAGTGACAACTACGAGTATTATTACACATGCACATACCTACTGTATTAAAGATCTTTCTAGTGGTGGTGATGCTGCACCATTTGTTTCTTACAACGACATCAGCGATGTATCCAAATACAAAACCCACTATGAATATAGCGAAGTATGGTATAGCTGACATTAGGCCATTCTAAAACAGTAATAACACACACCAAGTTAATATTAACTGACGGTCTGTAAAGTCAGCATAAGTCATAGTTTTGTGATGTGTCAGGACTTCACTCACTGACCGATCTGATGCTGACTCCTTGGACTTGGCTCAAATACGATGGCATGAGCGTCATCAGAGTCCACAACCCCCAGTTCTGAGCGCAGTTAGCTATGATCAGGGATATGAAAGGCATGGACGTCCACATTTTTTTCCATGGAGTTGGCAGCCTCTGAAAAATAATAAACGCAAGTATAACTGTAGCAATGTCTTTAGCAATGTTTTCAAACATTGCGTTAATATGTACTTTACGAAGCCCACCTTATGTCCCCCAATTTGTCCCAAAGATGTCTGTATATAAAGCTTCTCCTTCTCACTGATCCATCTTGAGGTTTGTGGGGAGTTAGCCCCAAAGATCATGTACATAATCAACAAAACTACTCCCATGATGGCGTTGGTGTAAAAGATCGCAGGCCAGCCGAAGAAACTAACCAGGTATCCCGATATAACCATTTGTAGAGCTATACCAAAATATGCCCCTGTAAAATAAAAATGTTTAAAATATCTAATAAATATCCTGACTTCAAAATTAATCACTGCTATGTAGTAAAGAGTTTGCAAATATGTAAAGAAATTCACACTATTTCTCAAATAACTTGTCTAAATATCGATACCAAGTAAGAGTATAATACCTGAATAAATAAAAGTTCCTACACGGCTTTTCTCTTCCAAAGGAGACCATTTTCCAATGAGATGATGCATAGCAGGCATTAAGATTCCTTGCGAGAATCCTTGGATGACCCGGCATAAACATACCATTTTCCAACCACCCTGAAATCATTAGGATGAAGATTGTAGTTCACAATATAATTATTTAGACACTCTATTTGTCATTATTGTTTTTGAAAATATTGAGCAAACATATTTCGATCGAGCAGGAAGGCGCTGGACGCAGGCCGCTACCAACCGGGCAGCATGGAAAGCATTGGAGGAGGCCTATGTACAGCAGTAGACGTCCATGGCTGAGATGATGATGATGATATTTCGATTTAAAGATTGCGAAATCACTTGTCATGAAAAGTGTTTCTGAGAACTGAACATCAGAAAGGTTAAAGTTAATCGCTTATAATAACGACCGCAAACTGATTATTCGTAATAAGTAGTCTATAAATTTAATTTTAAAAACTCACTATTTGTGCACTGATGGGCGTCACCAAGGATACAGCTGAGTTTACTGCTAGACCTAAGCAGAGAAGTAGTTTCCCTCCAAATCGGGAGACCAGCTCTCCCCCCGGGAACTGCGAGACTACGTAGCCCCATGTGAACGATGACAGGATCACACTTTGCGCTTGGATGCTCCAGTCAAAGTGCTGTAAGATAGATATATAGATAGATAGAAATAGTTATTGACACAAAACAACAGGCGCCAACAGGCCCCCGCTCAGCATTTATTGTGACATGCTAGAAAGGGCATATCACGAAGCTGGTCTTCCGCGGACATCCTTGCGTTAGACATAAATTAGGTATTGCGCATCCTTTGGAGGAGACACCTACTAAAATAATTTAGTCGTTAATATAATATAGATATAGTAATCATGACAATGACATGATAGGTCTAGATATTGGCTAATGAGGACTCTCGTTTTCATACTTAACAGTTGGCACCACTGGCGAGTTACAGAACCTTATTCTACAGTGGCGCCTAGAGTGCAAACGCGATAGTCATCCTCCGCTTCAACGCTCACTAATTGGCGTCTCTGTCTTATGCCCGTATTCACAAACATTACCATGAGGTCTCACAGTGCGCGTGGACACACAGGGTCACACACGAACCAATAACAGAGCTCTATTCAACGCTGTGCAATCGATTTGCTGCAAGCATCGTTTGTGAATACGGGCGTTAGTCACTATCAGGACCTTACGCTATAGTGGCGACAACTGATGAGGACTAAAACGATAACCCTCATTGTTTCAGAGTCTCATCTTCTATATATATAAAAGAAAGTCGTGTCAGTTACTCCACTTATAACTCAAGAACGGCTGAACCGATTTAGCTGAAAATTGTCAGGGAGGTAGTTTAGAGCCAGGAGAAGGACATAGGATACTTTTTATCCCGTTAGAAATAAAAAAAAAGTCTGCTTATTTATTGCCATTAGGGCGGAACAAAGTTCGCCGGGTCAGCTAGTATAAAATATTTGGTGTCAAAAAAAATCAAAATCAAAATCAAAATCAAAAATATTTATTCAGTTTAGACCACAAGTGGCACTTATGTGTAACAATCAGAAGGATAGAAGCTTTCGTCCCATTCATAATCATTAGATAACACATGAAACGAGCTAATCTTGACGCACGCCAACGCTCATTTCACGCTTTGTTTACTCGTTCTTGAGCGGAAAAAAAGGTTTCATCTTCAAATTTTCAATACTTATCTAATAGTACCACTTACGTAGATATATTATCAGTAATCTCATAGAAGTTTAGGTAATAGTAAATTCATGGGTGGTATATTTTATAGATACATTAGGTTCCGTAACAAATTGCAAAAGTCTTGACTAATCAAAGTTACATCAATTACCGCAGTAAATTCTGAACAACTTACAATTTCATTGCTGACATCAGTCATGGCCACGACTGCCATACTTATGTTGCTCCTGAATGCGAACCCAAAAGTCATGGCGAAGAATAAGAGCAACACCTGCACGTGCCGAAAGCCAAGACTTCCTCCTGAAAAGTTTCATGAAATAGAAACCCAACAACCCAATAAACCCAGAAACAGAAACAATCAATTTCAGAAATACTGGAGTGACGTTTAGCTAATTCTGAGAATAAATAAGCGACTTTCAGTGATTTCGTTGTATATTTTACTACACGATTCCATTTCAGTTATATTTGTGGCCTGTGATGATAAATCTATGCAAATGATTAATTAACTTTCGTTTATGAATACTAGCTTCCTTTGCACTCAGGTCTGAATTATGAAAGGATAATCCTGAAATTACCTACTTATTACGAGTATAATAAACAATCGATAAAAAGATAACTATTTTACCCATTTTGTTTTCCAAAAGCAAAGTTACCTTACTTAGATTTAGAATAAGTCACTTCAGAACTTGTAGCTATTTTCAGAACAAAAAATGTCTCTAAAACTATAAAATTAAGTTTCTCCGTAGCATGTTTCATAAATACAAAAGAACAATAAAATCACAAAAAATAATAGAAAAGCTATTGCCACTTACTAAACTTTTGTTCTGAACAATCATCTTCACTGTTGGCTGTCATTGAAATTGTCAAATTTTTTAATAATTTTACTTTTTGTAAACACGTCAGCTTCTGCCGTAACCCAGATGAAGATACTGTCTTCTTACATCATTGATCAATAGCTTAGCGAAGATTCACTACGGGTAGATAATTTACCTATCGATAAGATTACACACCCTTTACTAAAAAAATGAGCTATAATGCATTAAGAAAAGTGTCCATCATTCATTACCACAGTAAAAACATGGCAAGTAGTTCATCTACTACGGTTTCTATGCTCTCTCCTCTCAATAGTTTACTCAAGTGGTTTCAAACGCAGTCTCTATGCATTTAAAAATAATCCTATCGATAATGATTTAGGGTGCAATTTAATGTTTGTTAATGTCAAGTGTTCAAGTTAATGTAATAAAACAAAATTTATTTACGTATTTTTTTAATTTTAATTTTTTTTTTATTTTATTTACAAAATTCAGACGGTGAGTTTTTTCCAACATAATAGTACTTATCACGCATTTGCTGCTTCTTCTTTCTTAATACTATCGGCATCTGTTGAGTAAAAAAGATAATATTACCTATAAATATTACTGCAAATAAATTCTGAAACTAATACAAACTATGCGCTCTTTCAGATAAGCTTTTTTTGCACTTTTTGACATTCAATGCACTTCAATAACAAGATAGATACTTTAGTATTCTAGACGAGATTCCTATCACTTATGGAACTCACAAAAAAAGATCGCACGTGTAGAAATAACGCTAATCTGCATCTTTTTATATTTTATTATGAAAACTTTTAAATTCATCCTTTATGGCCGGCCAGTTCTTGGTTACGTTCTTGTTTTCTATTATAAAGTTTGGATTAAGCTGAAGCTTCGTTTTTTAATACAAGAAAAACAGTACATACCACTAGTTTCAGGCTCATTCCAGTCTTGTCGCTCGCTGCTTCCAAAGATGACGTAGAAAATATTGCAGCCGATATAGATTCCTGAAGATAAGTAAAACACCTTGCGCCATTCGTTAGCATCAGTCTGAAAAGATACAATGAAATTATTTGGTGAAAACAGAAATTAGAAGAAAAGATCTTTCTGTATTCTTCTTAATATGAATATCATTGGTCAGCCACTTGGATATTTTCTCAGCACTATGTAGTTTTAAAGTAACCAAATCTTGTAAACACAAGCACACTGGGATTGATAACATAAAAACTATCCTACTTTTCCTATCCTTTCCTACTACTATTTATTTTCTACTAGCTTTCCGCCCGCGGCTTCGCCCGCGTGGAATTTTGTCTGTCACAGAAAAACATTATCGCGCGCGTCCCTACTTCAAAAAACAGGATAAAATATATCCCGGGACTCGAACTATCTCTATGCCAAATTTAATCAAAATCGGATTCAGTGGTTTAGGCGTGAAAGCAAGACAGACAGAGAGACAGAGACTGACAGACAGATAGACAGACAGACAGAGTTACTTTCGCATTTATAATATTAGTATAGACGAAATTGTTAAATGTTATCAGTTAACTAACCTCATCCTTCAAGATCCACCCCGCAGCAATGGGTGCGAAGATGGAGAACACGTTGGATATGCCATTGGTGATGCCACTCATGGTGCCCGCGAAGTTCGGCGCCATGTCGATGTGGCCCAGCTGGAACAAATTAAAATTATAATCTGTAAAATTATATCGATATTAAAGAAAGAGTGGGTTAAATCGTTCGTTCGTTTCAGCCAAATGACGTCCACTGCTGGACAAAGGCCTCCTCCAAGGTTTTTCACAATACACGGTCCTGCACTGCCCGCATCCAGGCTCTTCCCGCCACCTTTACCAGATCGTCGGTCCACCTAGTAGGAGGTCTACCCACGCTACGTTTTCCAGCCCGTGGTCGCCACTCGAGAACTTTTCTGCCCCAACGGCCATCGTCTCTATGTGCCCCGCCCACTGCTGCGGATCTCCTCATTTCTGATTCGATCACGCAGGGAAACTCCAAGCATGGCCCGCTCCATCGCCCTTAAAGCGGGTTTAAATAGGAGGGATTAAAAAGTTTTAGAATAGTGTAATTTTATATCGTTTCAGCGAAATGACGTCCACCGCTGGGCTGGACAAAGGCCTCCCCCTAGGCTTTCCATAACGACGACAACGACGTAATCTAGATCTATTAAAGCGAAAGGTCACTGATTGACTGACTGACTCACTCACTCATCACGAAATCTCAGAAACTAAAAGTGCTAGGAGTCTCAAAGCATGGGGGTTCCTTTTAAAACATAGGTGCCTATTAAGACATAGGTACCTATTAAGACAGGATTTTGCAAAATTAAACCCCTAAGGGGGTAAAATTGGATCCAAGCGTACGAATTTATGGGCTGCCGCTAGTTTTGTATAATTTTGTATTACAGAGGGTACAAAACGGGAGTTTAATTCCATGTGGCGTTTATCTATAGTCAGTGTATAGTTACCATGAACCCGGTGAAGTGTCCCGCATTGAGAGCCACCACCAAGGTGAGCAGAGCCACAGCGGATGTGACGTCACCGGCCGGCGCGTACGACAGGCCAATCAGCGCCAGCGCAGGGCCAAAGAAGCCTAAAGTAATCGTACTTTATTTATTATTTTAGCATTATTATATCATATCATAGCATTATTATCATAAAATTTTGTTCTGAAATTAAAATTATTTAAATTGAATCTAGAAACATCTCGAAATCAGTGTAAAAATATACTTTAAACACGAAAATTAGGTAATTCGTAGAATTCTTGTGGTTTCCTGAACATCGGAATCGGAAAAATAATGCTTTCTCAACCTAAAAATAGGAACGGAAATAATCTATATATATAAAAGAAAGTCGTGTTAGTTACTTCGCTTATAACTCAAGAACGGCTGAACCGATTTAGCTGAAAATTGTCAGGGAGGTAGTTTAGAGCCAGGAGAAGGACATAGGATACTTTTTATCCCGTTCGAAATTAAAAAAAAAAGTCTGCTTATTTATTGCCATTAAGGCGGAACAAAGCTCGCCGGGTCAGCTAGTAAATAATAAATATCCTTGGACATTTTACACTACGCTTCTAGTCCCAAACTAAGCAAAGCTTGTACTATGGGATGGGTACTAGACAACGGATATAAACATACTTAAATACTTTTTTTTTTAAATACATACGAGTACATATTATTATACATAGTAACACCCAGACCCGTCACAGAAATTAAAATTCATAATTTCAATTTCTGCCCGGCCGGGAATCGAACCCGGTACCTCTCGGCATAGTAGTCCGTTTCCGAACCACTACACCAAACGTCCGACAAGTGGTTCTCTTTAAATAAAATAATAATTTATTATCATTAAAATGAGGCAAATTATAACAAGTTCGAGCACCTGTTACAGAAATCGCGAAAATTGGACTTAAAGCTTTTTAGGAATCCTTAATTAATTGAACTAAGTGAAAAGTTTCTTGTTATGTTTTAATTTGTCGTATTTTATTCATAATTGCATTTAAACACTGTAATCATACCAAAAGTGTTGCAGATCTTCCTTGTAACAGTGAGGCTGCACCATTTCTTCTTAATGGATAAGTCCGCAAAGTACCCGAACGGCAAACTCAAGAGGACTATGGCGATGTAAGGAATGGCAGACATGACACCATTCTGAAAATATAAAAATATGATAATATCAATATAAAATATCATTATGAATACTAGGGACAGCAACGTAAACCTTTTAATATCTATTGAATTTGCGGAGCGCAAAAAAAGTAATGCGGATCTCTCGTGACTTGCTTAATTATAGTCTCTGACAGACGAAAACATTACTCAATTAAAATTGCGAAATAGGCACCTGATTACTTTTGGAAATTAATATTTGCTGTATATGCATAATTTACTTTTGTCTTGAACTTATTTATTTATAAGGAAACTATGAATTTATGGTGTATGTTTTGTTGGTTGTCCTTAAATCTATACTTATAATAAATCTGTAGAGAGGTCAATTCTGTACATGAAATATATTTTCAAAATAACTATTAGGGGGTGATTAGTGATCGATACTGATGCCAAAAATGCAATCAGTAAAATTTTTGTCTGTCTGTCTGTCTGTCCGTCTGTATGTTCCTTATAGAAACAAAAAGTACTCGACGGATTTTAACGAAACTTGGTATAATTATTCTTCATACTCCTGGGCAGGTTATAGTATACTTAGGAATTTCCACGGGAACAGGAATTAACGGGAAAATCCTTTTATATGAACCGCTTAAGTTAGACACTTGAAATTTGGCATGTAGGTACCTTAGTAAACTTAAAGCTTAGTTACAACAAGTGATTCCCGAAATTCCTACGGGAACGGGAATTAGCGGTAAAATCTTTTTGTATGAAAAATCTAAACCGCTTAAGTTAGACGCTTGATATTTGGCATGTATGTACCTTAATAAACTTATAGCTTAGTTACAACAGGATATTGCAAAATTCCCACGGGAACGGGAGTTAGCGGGAAAAAACATTTGTATGAAAAAATCTTAACCGCGTAAGATAGATGAAGGGGGTAAAACGGGATCCACGCGTACGAAGTCACGGGCGGCCGCTAGTAAATAAATAAATAAATAATAAATAAACAATGAGCTTATCCAAAATGACCCCTTCGAACAAGACAAACTCACAGCCTTAATGCTGACTCCCTGCACGCTGCTCAGATACGAGGGTATCAGCGTCATAAAGGTCCACAGGCCCCAGCTCTGTGCGCAGTTGGCCACGATCAGCGCGATGAAAGGGACGGAGGTCCACATCCTCTTCCATGGAGTCTTTAGCTTCTGGAATTTAAGGAATTACACTTCAGTATTATTTTATAGTAGAGGTATCGAGGTGTATAAGATAATCAAAAGATGCAAGTCTAATAAAACATACAAATCAAGATGAAGCAATAAAAAATAGTTTGAATTTGATATCTCAAGAAGTCTAAATAATGACTGTAATTGTTGAAGATTGAATGTAATATCTTTGATTCGTAGCTTTTTAAGTCGCATATTTTTAGAATGAGAATGACTATATTCTATGTATAGGTATGTGGAAGATTTTTGCGATAGTTCAATGATGATGAATGATGATGATGCCATATTGTATCTATGTGTGACTAAAAGGTACCCTATACTTTAATTGGATTGAACAATTTAATGTAAACATCACGTAAAAACTTACTTTATGCCCTCCAATCTGTCCCAGCGATGACTGGATATATAATCTTTCCCTTTCGCTGATCCATCTTGAAGACTGAGGGGAATCAGATCCAAAGGTGATGTAGACGATCAGCAAGGCCGTCCCCATGATGCCGTTGGTGTAGAATATGGATGGCCAACCAAAATAGTTTACTAGGTACCCTGACAGAATCATTTGTAGGGCTACTCCAGCTTGGCATCCTGGAAGAAAGTTAATTGCGGATGGTTCATGTCTTTTTACGCTTATTTGCAAATATAAAATGTTAAGGAACAAAAACTTTCAGAAAAATCTTATTGTTCATTAACAAATTACACTATAGTTATGCTATTTCAGATTCGAGTTGAATAGGCCTTGATTAGGCAAAATAAAGCTTGCAATTCCATGAAACCGCGGGCTTCAAAATATAATCATAAGTGTCTTTAATCCTTTGCAAGCCGTCCTTAACAAGAGCTTAACTCTTTCTAGGAAAAAAATCTTCCTTATTTATTAGTGAAGATTTTTCAAGGTCAAGAGGCACAACGTTTATTTTTTTGCATTTTTTTTTTGCAATGTATTCTTTACGAGGTTCGTAAACTCACCACAAATAATCAAAGCTCCTATCCGACTCTTCTCATCCAAAGGCGCCCACTTGCCGATGAGGTTGTGCATGGATGGCATGAGGATGCCCTGGCCCAGGCCCTGCACCACTCGAAAGGCGAACAACAGTCGCCAGCCCCCCTGAAAAAGTAAATAAATCTTTATATTTTCTAATTATGGGCTTGCACATAACCTTCTCGCCCGGAAGGTGTAAACGCGAATTATGATGAAGCGAGCATGCCTATTCACTCGCGCTTGAAGGCCTTAGGATTGTATAGTTAAAATGCCATTTAATGTAAAATTATGTAAAAAAAACATAACCCTCCTTTAGGCGCAGTCTGATAAGAGTAAAAGTAAAAGTATCCATAACATCAAGAGTTGAAGATTAAAATAAAACCATTTGAAAACCAAATCGTAATGAACTAGTCCTAAGACAAATATCAAAACCCCTTTGTATTTTTCTGTCCCCTGTTACTTTTCCCCCTGTATTTTTGGTCGTCTTAAATAAATACCTGCATGCACTAAATGTAAATAAAATGTTTAATCACTAGGCTATAAATGCATAGGTATCAAGAGAACAAGTGAACATTCAATATACAGGGTGGAAACGTTAAGTGATCTCACTCGATTATTTCTAAACTATACAAGATATCGAAAAACTGATAACTGATTCTGAAAGTGCTAAACGGTACCAATAATAGGTTACAGAATAAACTGTATCTATCCGAAAATTCAATGTTTCCAGCTGTAGTAGTAGTTAAAGCCAAAGCACACGATGCGTTGCGGCGGCTCTGCGACGCTGGAGCGGAGTCACTGCGTCGTCTACCTACATAGAAATATCTATGGCGGGTTCACGAGAGATACGCCGAAAGTTTTGCGCAACGCCTCGTGTGATCTGGCTCTTACTGTACATTATGCATACTTACATAATAAGCCCCGATAGGCGATATGAACGATATCAGCGAGTTGGTGATCAAGGCGTTGCAGAGGAGAACCTTCCTCCCAAGCCTGGCCACCAGCTCGCCGCCGGGCGTCTGCGTCACCACGTACCCCCACGTGAAGGCAGACAGCACCAGGCTCTGCTCTTTGATGCTCCAGTCGAAGGACTGCAAGATAGAATAGATAAAAACCATAATATTATGAAGGTCAGGTTTATAACCCTTTAGATTCATCATCATCATTTCAGCCATAGGACGTCCATTGCTGAACATAGGCCTCCCCCAATGATTTCCACAATGGCCGGTTGGTGGCAATTGCATTCAGCGCCTTCCCGCTACCTTTATGAGGTCGTCGTCTTTATGAGGTCTTTAGCCTGACAAGCTTAATTTGTATACAGGGTGTCCCGTAATGTAACGTCAAGCCGGAACTGGGTGTTGAGGCAAGTTATGCTGGTTATCAGAAAAATCTAAAAAAAAATCTATGTGGCATATTTTCAAAATAATGGGCATTTAAAAAAAATCAAAAATTTCTACTCCAAGTGACGGTCTTTTAACTCGTGTTGCCACAAATCTTCACTTTTTCCAAATTTTTTTTTTGTTATGTAACCCTGAATAATGCTTCTCTAAATTGTTATAAAAATTACAAAACCAGCTGCTCCAGCTTGGATAAAAAAAATACATTATTCCCAAAAAAATTTTCAAAATAAAAATTTTGTCTAGTTTAAGCTGACTGTACTGAAAAAAAAAGTACTACGGAAGTATGGCATGTGACGTCATAATTTGGCGCATTTAGTAAGGATTTCAAAATGGTATAACACTTGGTAAATTCTTGCTGTAATTGTCGACAATTTTTAGTTTTTTGGAAATAATCCCGTTTTTAACTTTATCTACCTTGGTTAAAAATTATTATTCTAATGTGCCCAAAATTCAAGTTTCTGCGACTGACTACCGTACNATAAACATGGAATATGTAATTGAATATAATACAGTATAAATTCTAAAACCATTCTAATATCTGCAACAATGTCCAGGAAGTAATCAAGTAAAGTATTTAATTTTAATAATGGGTTTTAAATTCTAACAAAATTATTACAATAACTATTTATAAGCAACTAATAATCGTATAAAATACAATATTAATTCTAAAATCATTACAATAGTGAGTCTCATTACATGTATATGGCGTAGTTTTTAAGTAAAAGAAAATCTCCCAAATTACTCATCATTCATTTAGTCTCGACCCTGTCTAATTTACTAGAATCAGTGGAGGATAAGGCCTATACTCCTTACAAGTTTTCGTTTAAAATGGTGATCTAACTATTCATCCGACTTCTAACATTTGTTTGCCATTTTGTTAGATTTTTTGGGTTGATCCTTCCTCCACTATTCTTATATTATGTGATTTTTTTTCTTCTTCAGTTAAATCTATGAAGTATTAATCGTTTGCTAAAGCTGTCTAGTAGCTCTCTTAAATTATGTAGTTGTATTATATTGGAATTTTGTGTTTACCCACTGATACTATCTTCCAGTTTTGCTTGATTCCAATCTCAAGTGTGATAAAGGAGCAAAATCTGATATTTCCGTAAACATTCTGCACGTTTAGTTACATAATGGTAAAAGGGTTTTTACAAATCTGGTGGTGACAACGGCACTTCTAAGAGTTCGACTGTGTGTGAAACTTTAAAGGAACAATCATTCAATGATAGCACAAATCTCCAAAATTTGCTCTATTTGTCGCTTTGATCATTGCTTATGTATCTAAGCCTAGGCGCAGATCACCGACTTTTTGTCTACCGATAGTTGGGTCGGGCTGTTAATCAGTATGGTTACGTATGAAAGTGGGCACATTGGTATCGGCCGATTCTTCATACAAATTAGAATTTAACTGTGACAAATATGACAAAAATCTGTCAAACTCCATACAAAAGCACCGGTTACCGTTATAAGGTGCAACTCAGCCTAAGAGTTTTATTTATTTTATTTTTATTTTATTTGTTTAACAATGTAAATACATGCCACCTCAGTTGTTGTTGTTGTATAACTATCACTACATATTCGAGCATTCCTGGCACACAATCAGGCGAAGTTATGAGAAGAAGTGATGACATTTATCAACGATAGCAGCCCGACGCGAAGTACCGTATTTGTGGTGTCAAGCCTCAAAAGGGGGAGAATTGACTATGAGAAGGGACATGGATCAGAGAAATTTGTAGGGAGTTAAGCAAAGCGCCCGGGGAAAAGAGCCCAGAGCAAGTACCCGCGCGCTCTCCCGAGATTCGGTTCGTACGCCGTGAGGCAGGAAGAACCATGGGTGGTGGTGGGTTATCACTACATATTATCAAACAAAGTCGCTTTCCTGCCTGTCTGTCCCTATGTATGTTTAGATCTTTAAAAATACGCAACGGATTTTGATTCGTTTTTGTAATGGGGAGAGTGTTTTAAAAGGAAAGTTTATACGTATAAAACATGCATATAATTGAAGAGAAAAGCCGAGAAAATCCATTGCACTCGTGCGAAGCCGAGGCGGGCTGCTAGTCCATACTAAGATGAAGATGTCTACTAAACATATAGTATTCTTCATTATCAATGAAACTCGGAAATCCCAGCTACCTGACATACTGATTTGTTTCTGACACAGATTGCGGCAAATACCAACTTTGACAGATCTCGCGATAACTTTGATCAATCGAGGCCGTGATAAAGAACTTACGTTCTCGTCGGCATCGTCGGTCATGGCCACTATAGCCATACTGATGGTGACTCTGAATGCGAAACAGAATGTCAGCATGAGGAATAGCAGCAGAACTTGCAGGTGACGGAACCCCAGAAATCCTGACAAAATAAATAAATTAAATATTGGTACAGGTGCCTAAAGATTCATAAGTCATATATAAAAATATAATCACTGTAATATGTTATTGTGATGTAATAATACTGTAAAATTATCTCATAATTCATTCAGTAGTGCAAAGTGTAATAAACATTATCCATCCTCACAAACTTTAACATTCATAACATTAGTAAGATTAACTTAAAAAACTAATAACACCTCCATCCCGCCTTGAACTGTACTCATCGGGTCCACTTTCCATGTCAATCAAGATTTTTAAAAAGCATTCAGTTTCGTAAAAAAAAAATACACTTAAAGAATCAACATACGTAAAAAAACTAAAGAACTTTTAATTTCCAAACACTATTATGCTTTTAGTGAGTATCTAAATTATAAATTATTAGGCTCTAACTAATTCTGATACATTTTTCGGTTGATCTAGGGTGGTCCTCCTCTCTCCTAATTGCCGTGTCCTACAGGGGCCCATAATGTTCTAATTTTAAGTACATAATGAATGCAATAAAATTAATATTGAGTACTAGCTGACCTGGCGAACTTCGTACCGCCTTAGCGTAGAGATTTTCGTAATATTTTTTTCCGTAAGAACCATCCTTGGACTTCCACAAATATTTAAAAAAAAGAATTATCGAAATCGGTTCAGCCGTTCACACGTGATGCCGTGACAACGCGAAACGGGTTTCATTTTTATATATATAGATTAAAACGACGCAGACGCAGGCTACTCCTTGAAGATAATAACGGAACTTGTTCACACGACTTTCATTTAAAAGGAATGCTAGGTACCCTATGTTTGCTTTTTCAGAAAAATGCAAAATGTTGCAAAGACGGTTAAAAAAAGTATTGAAAATATTTTCACGCGTTTGAAGTCGTGGACACGGCTATCAATCGATAAAAATCATAAATAAAAATTACTAGCACGTTTTAAGTAAAAACACTACTTTGTATGTACCTACTCGTAGTATACGAATGTTAAGGAATCCACTAGTTTTAAGAAATATTAATTTTAATCAATTTAAATAAATGATACCTACTTAAAGTAATACACATTTTTGAGCGATAAAACAATCATAGTTATTTTACTTACTTCGATTCCCATCAGTCAAAAGTTCATCCGTGCTTGCTATCATGGTGAAAAAACACTATAAGGATTTTCAACCAAAACTGTATTTCTTCTCGCGGCTACGAGTAAATAAGGAATAAACAAGAAATCTAAATATTATCTGTCAGTCGCGGTGAGATAAGAATTAAAGGTTACGCTGAGATTGTCAATAAGGAGATCCTAAATCGTTGTGCAATGGCATGGCGAACAACACACGAGCGCACAAGGACGGCGATAGTGACCCAGGCATGCTCGTCTGCCCACGCCAAAACTATAAAAAACCGGCCAAGTGCGTGTCGTGTCACGCGCAGTGTAGGGTTCCGTAGTTGTCCGTCGTTAACACAATATATTTCAGAAGCAAGCAATCACTTCATCTAAAATCACTTTATTTTCTTCTAAGGAATTTTTATTAGGTACCTGCCTATGAAATTTTATAATAAATGAGTAAAACGACTATTACTCTTAAACTAACTGATCTATCTTAACCGCTATAGTTTTCTTTGAAAGTTCATAAAAAGCACTATTTTCATGATTTTTTTCAGATTTTTCAAGCCCATAGTTTAGTTTTTAAAGGGGGGGGGGGACACAATACAAAATTACAGCTCTCTAGTGACAATAGTTTCCACGCAAAACCTCGGACAGACAGACAGACAGACATATTATCTAAACTATAAGGGTTCCTTGTCAGAACTACGAAACCCTAAAAACTTGTGGATCACGACCTCTCAAGCCTAGTACACTGTCGATGACGTCAATTACGTAAACCTAATATCCGTAACTAGTTTATTCTTTAGCTTGTACGCGGCTTTTTGCGCGGTGTTCCAAAGCAGTCCTTGAATTAGAAATCACTACATATTATAAAACAAAGTCGCCGTACTTTCTGTCTGCCTCTGTGTATTTAGTGTCTTTAAATCTACGGAACTGATTTTGATGCGGTTTTTTAAAAGAATAGAATGATTTAAGTCCTCTTAAAGGTTTTTAAGTATAATACATATATTGTACCTGTGCGAAGCAATGGCGGTTCGCTTTATGTATACAACAAGCTTTGCTTAAATTATACGATTATTTAAAATTTTAATTAGTAATTTGTGCTGCTGTATGTTAATACGTGGATACAATAGAAAGATTCGTTCGTTCGTTCGTTTCAGCCGAATGACTTCCAACGCCAAAAAGACTATAGTTTTTTATGAATAACTGTTTATTTATTATTATTTATAACTGCTGGACAAAGGTCTTCTCCGAGGATTTCCACAATGACCGATCCTGCACCGTCGGCATCCAGGACCGCACCTTCACCAGACCGTCGGTCCACCTAGTGGGGGGCCTGCCCACACTACGTCTCGTCAGTCTTTGGTTTTCTTTATTATACACTGTGTCCGGGCTTGTAGTGATCAAACTTTAAGGGCGTAATCTATGGACAATTTTATCGATGAAAATACTTCAAGTTTAGGGCTTAGTAACCCATTTCTTGCAAAATTACAAGGATTTAAGTTTTTATTTTTTTGTTTTCACCTCTTCCTTCAAAAACAAGTTAAAGCGATTTTAAGCAATTATTTTATATCATGCGATAGCCAATTAAATTATCTATTAGTAAAAGTAGAAAACGGACACAAGTTTCATACATTTTAAGGGAGTAGGTAACAATGAATTTAATTAGAAAAAAACATGACTTTTTTACTTCTTTTTCAGGTATGTATTTTCCAACACAAGAAAAATCAGGTCGTTAGCATTATGTTTTATTTGCATTGTATTATTTCTACAAAACGAATGTAAAGGACATTGTCAGAAACCGCCTAAAAACCGCCCAAAAACATTAACCCANTTAGTCTATGTGAATTAGTTTCGACGTAATTGTTGAACAAAGATACCCCTTCCCAGCGGTTCCATAGCGGGCTAGTCATGTAGTCGGAATACGTTGTGTGATTCTTTCAGGCAGTGCATTTTCGCATGTTACCAGCTCTATGGAACCGCTGGGAAGGGGCATCTTTGTTCAACAACAATTTCGAAACTAGACATAGACTAATAAAACTTTAGTTTTGTTTTGTTTGTAAAGTAAGGAAAAGGTCGGCTTTTTCACCTTCACGTGGTGGATCACCGTTGAGAAGACTGTTGCAAGTAAGTTCGGTCTAGTGTTCAGTAGGCCTAAGATGCGCGCCGTGATAACTTTTATCGACGTCAATTTGTATGGGCAAAATCGATAAAATAGCGTGATAACCGCCTATCACGGCGCACATCTTAGGCCTACAGGACGCGAAGTGGCCGCTGCATTCCTCACTTGCTCATTTTCTTGCATTTTTTTCATTTCAATTTATGATTATTACATTTTACTCAACTCTCTATTTTGTGTGCAGGTAATTATGTACCTGGGTATAATATTGTTTATTTATTTTTTCATTTTATAAGCTTCGGCCCCGACTATACACGAATTGTTGTAAATTAATAAAACAACCTAAAGCAATGTAAGGTATGTATCGAAAATTATTGTGTCTGTCGCATTTCCTTTCTCGATCTCAAATGCTTCTTAATAACTTTTGAAGTACTTTTGAACAGATGAACTTCTAATGTATCTTTAGAAATGTTTTTAATGGACTCTATTTTGCTAAGAAAAGAATATCGCTTGAACGTTAAATTGTTTCAGAAAATAAAACAACAACAACTGAAAATACAATGGCATAAATGCAATAGTTTGAACTGTACGCTTCATTATTATGAACTTGGTGACTAAACGACAAAATTATGCGTTTATTTCAAAACATATTCGTTTCGGTGTTTTGGTGATAGATATTTGGAAATATTCTAAGCCAATATAATATTGTGATAACGGACATTATTATTTAGTAATTTAGGTTTGTGAATGGGTTAATATACAAATAAAACACTATTAAATATTTTAATTTTATTGTTTTTTTTATTATTATTTTTTTATTGTTTTGATCTCTACATTTTTAATACAACTACACTACACTATTGACTACTAGGTTAACAGCCTTTAAAATATTACGCTCTAATATCTAATCTATTTACAAATTAATATAAGTATAATACTGTAATAATTTATCAAGTAAATAAATAAGAATAAAACCTTTTTTAACAAAGGTTCAAATGTTTCTCTAGCAAAAAGTCTTTTAGTAAGCTCTCTCAAAAAATAAAGCAGGATACAAGAGCTAATAATATAAATATAACCATCAAACTACTTTTTCTACATTCTTTTCTGTCGTGACGTCATCATCTGAAAAAAAAACAGGAAAATATTAGTAAGTTCAGTTTCAATAAAATATGTACACTGATTGAAGCAGCAACGGCATTGATTCCTGCTACTGAAAATTTAAAATTCAGCACTTGCAAAGTTTTAAAATTATTGTGCTTTTTGAAGGACTGGGGTATCTTACACTCTACCTGGTGCAGCGAGGGTTATTGTAGACTTGGTAGAAATTTGATATAATAATAATATTCTGAGACTATTTTATGTGGATAGGTAAGACTTCGTATATTGATAGACATATTTTTTTCAAGATGTTTCTTCTTCTTTTTTTTGTCGGGTCGGCAACAAACCTACACAGTGTCAGTCCAAAACTCCGCCACAAGAGTGGCGTTGTCAGTAGCCTTCATTAAGTCTTTCATTATTTGGGCATGGGCACGACATCATGTGCTTCGTCAACTGTTTCTTACTAGAACCCGGTCTGTGAGCACGTACACTCACTGCGGGCACCCGTCGCACAGTCGTGACAGCAATATAATTACGCGCGAGCGATAAGGATGGGTAGCTTGGGGTCATTGGACAAAATTCTACGTGCTCACAGACCAGACTATATCTCCTTACCAGTATCTTTAGACTCCGGTTCGTTCCACGTCTGCCTCTCACTCGTGCCGAAGATGATGAAGATCAGGTTGCAGACGATGTAGACGGCTGACGACAGGTAGAATACGATCCTCCATTGGTCTGGGTCAGTCTGAAAAATTGTTCAAAAATATTTCATTACAATAAACTTACTTATCATTTGCCTCAAAAACTAAGGAAGAGATAGCGGTAGATTTTTTTTTTATCCACAACGAGGAAGCTCTTTAATAAATAAATATCCCTTGACATTTACACTACGCTTCTAGTCCCAAACTAAGCATAGCTATATGTACTAAAGCTAAAGCAAACTATGGGTACTAGACAACTGATATAAAAATACATAAATACTTTTTTTTAAAGAAATTTAAATTCATCATTTCAATTTCTGCCCGGCCGGGAATCGAACCCTTGGCTTCTATCTTGTATTGATTGTGCGGAGAGCTGTATCTGACTACGACCGCTCTGCCAAGAGCGACACGAATAAGAAGAAGAAACAACCAAACGTTGCTTATTTTATGAAGAGACTCCAAAACATGTTCAAGGCACGTTATTTATAAGACACAGAGATTATACCTGGTCAATATAAGGAGCTTAAAAGCTTTGCCTCAGATTGCTACTTTTCAAATTCAAATTCAAAACGTTTATTTCATGTCATTATAATTTATAGTGGTTTAGAAGTAGGTATACATTTTCTATTACCTACCTTTACAAGTTATGTCACCTCACATATTTTATTACATTAACTTGCATGAAACTTATTACTATAAATTATTATTATTTCTAGAAAAGAAACAAATACAATTTCAAAGGCCTCGTATAAATGTGAAAATGAGTATTAAATGCCGGAGCTCGGGAAGCGCTGAAATAACAACGTTAGAACTTACAACTAATGGAGAAAAGTGTGGGGTTAGCTTTTAAGTTTAAAAGTTAGGGTTCTCTCGCAGAGCAAGCGAAGAGCTGCAAATTATCTTGCATTTTGTACCGTTTGCTTAAGCTGTAGCTGTAGGTAAAATATGATAAATATTTTGATCAAATGAAGACGAGTGGACTCAGTGGAGACAGACAGACATGATAGACATTATTTTGATCTGAATTTACAGTGATGTGATTAAATTTTTCATTGAGACGGACTAGCAGTGATACAGTGATTTTCTCATGTTCATAAAATTGTATCTATGTAAATAAAAATGAATTGTTGTTCGTTAGTATGATTAAAACTCGAGAACGGCTGGGCCGATTGAGCTGATTTTGGTTTTAAAATGTTTGTCGTAGTCCAGGATAGGTCTAAACGGTGAGCAAATAAGAAAAAATGGCGATGGCTTATTTATTGCCTGTTGCCGATGCATAAAACCTCCGTAGAGGTTTTTCTCTTAGGCTTGATTTTCATTAAAAAACTTGGTTTGACGTCTGTGTCAGTTGAAAAGTACTCCGTGCAAAAGCTGGTGGTTTACAATCTTCGAGCCGGATCCAGGCGGATTCAATGTTTTTTACGCCACCCAGAATGGTCAATACACGGAGCGCAACTCGAAGGGAGCAGCAGGAGATTCAGATTCAGCCATCCGACGACTCCGAGGTACAACAAAATATGGCAAGTCAAAATGACATTTCCGTACATAATAGTACAGTCGTGCAAGCAAACTCTAAAGCCTCGGAATCATCTATATCAGCTAGGAAAAAACGGCTTGAATACGAAACTGCGAAACAAAAGGCCAAAATCGCTATGGATTTACTTGACAAGCAGTTGGAGGCGGATATCGCGGAACTTGAGGATGAATATCCCGCAAATAGCCTCCGTAGTGTGTCGCAATGGCTTGAGCAGCAAGATAAGGAGCAACTTGTCCACGATAATGGACCCCAACCGGTCAAGTTGTGCTCTTCAGTACCTCATCAAGAGTCAGCGCCTATGGAAAATGCTGGCACGGTACACATGTTGGCCGCTGCACTTAGAGACATTGCGGCTACCTCTGCTGCAAATACCAACAACGGTAACCTCTTAAGCCGTATATGCACGCCACGAGATCTCCCAGAGTTTTACGGAGACCCGATGGAATGGCTACCATTTAAAGGAGCATATTACGAGTCAGCTGAAGTATGTAACTTCACACCCAAAGAGAACTTATGGCGACTTAGAAAATGCCTGCGTGGAGCCGCTAAGGAAGCAGTTTCGGCTCTATTGATCAGCGCATCGTCACCAGAAACTATTATGTCTACTCTTGAGCTGAGGTTCGGTAATCCAGATCTGATAATTTCAAGGGTACTGTTGGACATAAAGAAATTACCACCCTTGCCGAGCGATTACCAGAGAGACATAGTGCCATTCGCTGTGAAGGTACAAAATCTGATAGAGGCTATTCGAGCATTGAAGCGAGAGGAATATCTACAAGGTATGAACATAGTCTCAAAAATACTTGCAAAACTACCGACAGTGCTTGTATCGAAATGGTCAGACTTTAGTTTCCCACTGATCACTGAAGGAAAGATGCCTCGCTTGCTTCCTTTTGTACCCTTTGCACCACCGGCCTGCACCACTGGTGGTGCAAAGGGTATTTTTAAATCCCTCTTGCACCACCAACAAATAGTGCTGTGCTACCATCGACTGTTAAACTAGTAGTAGACTGTAAAATACTTAATAATTTAATTGTTATAAATAAATCGAAACCTACCTAAAAGTTTTAATTTGTGTGTGTAAGTGCCTATAAACATTTCACTTCAGACCCACGATACCCCGGGCCTACATCCTACATACAACGAATAAAGTACCAGGGCAACATAACCATAAAGGAGCTATTTGATACATGTTTATTTCTCGGGTCAACCAAGAAGAATCTGATATAGCTCCTTTATGATTATGTTGCCCTGGTACTTTAGGAATATTATTCGTTGTATGTAGATATGAATGGTTGTTATTAATTTTTATGTTATGTTGTCAAATCTGTCCAGTAGTTTCGGAGCCTATTCAGTACAAACAAACAATCAAATCTTTCCTCTTTATAATATTAATATTATATGATTATAGATAATCGTTTTACAGTAATGGTAGGGCGGCACTATTGGTGGTGCAAAAGGGATTAAAAAATACCCTTTGCACCACCAGTGGTGCAGGCCGGTGGTGCAAAGGGTACAAAAGGAAAACAGATAATGCAATCCAAAAAGATTTATGTTATAGCAAGAAATTGAGTAGAGACAGCTACTTCAGGAGTTCCTTTAATCAAATGGTCAAAAGGACCTCGTAAATCGTAATGTAAGGCGATAGAACATCAGTTGATTTCAAGCTAGCACATATTACTCGTACTACTAATGCAAGAGGCCACAGTGTTGATGTGCTATCATTTGTACGGGTGCCCTCTTAGACGCATAACATTTTTCATCATAATTTAGTTTGGTATAACAGTATTTGCATAAAGTTTTTTCGCATAAACTTTGATATGCATAGTTTTCTAAATGCATAATGGTTTCTTGGGCATAATAATAACTTTCTCTAATTTTCAATACCATAATTTAAATAATTATAAATGTAAAGAACATAATTTTTATATACATAAAGTTTGTTTTTAATAAAATACTATAAACATAATTTAATTATTTATAACATCTAAAGTCATAAATATTGTCTATAAGAGCAACCAACATTGAAGAGTAAATAATTATGTATTTGTGATGTTGCGAACGATCCTCCTTCCACCTTTATACTCTTTCGGCCTATAGATTTGCAAAAACTAAATTCTCTGANCTCTTAGGCTTGATTTTCATTAAAAAACTTGGTTTGACGTCTGTGTCAGTTGAAAAGTACTCCGTGCAAAAGCTGGTGGTTTACATTGCCTTTAAGGCGGAACAGAGTTCGCGAGGACAGCTAGTAAGAAATAATAATTAAAAGTGTTGCAACTGAGTTGTAATACAAATTGATAAGAATGTACTGAACCATTTTTTCCGGCTTCCACATTTTAAAATGCAAAGTGCACGAACGTGCAAGGATAAGCCTGTGAAATGAAGAGACACGTCGGTACTCGGTATCCCTCTTCCAGAATAGCCAGTTAGGGATAGTTCGAAGTTTCCAACTCCTTCTCAAAAGGACGGATTATACGAAGATTAGAACTTTTATTAGTTCTAAACTGGGACTTTTAAACGTGTAGTGGTTTTGTTATCGTACTTAAAGTTCCGTGTAGACTTTATTTCACAAGCATTTCTTGTGATAGTCTTGGAAATTTTACAATGTAAAGAAATGCGATAATTTGTACCTGAATAATTCATATTCACATGAGTCAAACAAATTCAGCTTATAGTTGTTATGGTAAACTGCACAATAATGTACCTATCAACTTTACATGACGACTTTATTAAACGACTTTAAAAAAAAAAATAAAAGCGGCTCTACGTGACTTTTGGAGAAAGTTCATAACTTAGCTCTACAACGTATGATGTTTATTATTTTTTCCAAAGATAACCAGTCAATCGGTAAAATTTAACTTCTTAGAACAGCTTAATCTTGATGTGCCATGTTTGTATTATTCGTCTAGTCACCTGATCTGTCAAGATGAGCCCAGCCACCAGCGGCGCTAAGATGGAGACGAAGTTCGCGATACAGTTCGTGATGCCCATCAAGGTCCCGCCGAAGTTGGGCGCCATATCGATGTGGACTAGCTGGAAATAACAATAATCATAGCTTTAATAATCTACTCGAGTCTGTGAGTGCAAAACGTTATTCCCTGCATGAGAAAAAAATAACTGATTAGTACATCTCGTAAAACTGAATATAACGTTGTCTGACAAAGTCAAAATTAAAAATGATTACTCTTAAAAAGTTTTACGTGTCCAATGTTTGTTCTACCCCCTAGCACCTTGCTACAGTCTACAACGTAAATCTATACTTATAATAAATCTGTAGAGAGGTCAATTCTGTACATGAAATATATTTTCAAAATAACTATCAGGGGGTGATTAGTGATCGATGCTGATGCCAAAAATGCAATCAGTAAAATTTTTGTCTGTCTGTCTGTCTGTCTGTCTGTCTGTCTGTCTGTCTGTCTGTCTGTCTGTATGTTCCTTATAGAAACAAAAACTACTCGACGGATTTTAACGAAACTTGGTATAATTATTCTTCATACTCCTGGGCAGGTTATAGGATACTTAGGAATTCCCACGGGAACGGGAATTAGCGGGAAAATCCTTTTGTATGAAAAATCTAAACCGCTTAAGTTAGACGCTTGCAATTTGGCATGCAGGTACCTTAGTAAAGTCAAAGCTTAGTTACAACAGGATATTGCAAAATTCCCACGGGAACGGGAGTCAGTGGGAAAAAACATTTGTATGAAAAAATCTAAACCGCGTAAGAGAGACTCTTGAAATTTGGCATGCAGGTACCTTTGTAAACTTAACGCTTAGTTACAACAGGATATTGCAAAATTCCCACGGGAACGGGAGTTAGCGGGAAAAACATTTGTATGAAAAAATCTGAACCGCGTAAGATAGATGAAGGGGGGGTAAAACGAGATCCACGCGTACGAAGTCGCGGGCGGCCGCTAGTACTTAATATGAACTGAAAAAAAGCAAAGAACTTTTTTTCCTCCTTTCAGCATAGATTCAGGGTGGTCCTAGTTAAGGCTCCACATCGCATACAGAACAACAATTATTGTTATCTTCCTTTATTACTTTAATGTACCAGAATGAATGTCTGATAAAATAAACAATTTTTTTATAGAATTTCAAATTAACAACAATATTTCAATGAATAATGCAACTGTACCAAGTATCCAGTATATTGTCCAGCGTTGAGGCCGACTACCACGCACAGAATGATGACTGCCGTGGTGGCGTCGCCAGCGGGTGCGTACGTGAGCCCAATCAGAGCTACAGCTGGACCCCAATGACCTGCATTCCAAAGTTTTTTCTACATTAGATAATTTCGTTATAAATTATAAAAAATTCATCGTCATTTTGCTTATACATCCGTACCAGAGCGTCAACGTGATAACACGGCTGCTAGGTGTGCACTTAACTCGACCGTGTTGTGATTTCCGCATCAGATGTCATCACGAAAGGTTCTTTAAAACCTTACCTAATACGTACACCATGCAAGCAATAAAAGTTGGAAGAACCTCTCAGCTAAAAGCCTTGCAACCTTGCAGCAATTGTCATCGTACCTAAAAACGATTGTACAACATCTGACATCCATTGTTAAGAAGTAATCCATTTACCAATAGTATTAGAGATCTTTCTGCAAGCTGTGATGCTGAGCCACTTCTTCTTCTGAATCAAGTCGACCAAGTAACCGAGTGGGAAACTCAACAGGTACATAGTGAGGTATGGTAGTGCTGACATGACACCGTTCTGGAAAATAAAAGAAAACGCTTATGTCGAGCTAATAATAATGATATTTGAGAAAACGAACTAATTGTATTGGAATTTATATTGAAAAAAATGTAAATAAATAAATAATTGATGTTGATTAATAAGTATGATAGTAAAACAAGATGCAATACTAGGGGGTTTGGTGGGTCAGAAAGAACCAGGGGCGGGCTGGAAGATTTTGTGAAGAGCTAATTGAAGAGGAGATCGGAAAGGTGGTAGGTCAAAAAGCAAGTTAAAAGGGAGCTGGCGAATGGAGGGTGGAGACGCAAGACTTCGTACCTACCAGAAGTTTGACAAAACACTTATGTGATTTATCACATTTTAGGAAAGAGAACATTCGAATAGCTACTTACAGCACCAATGTCAACGCCCATGACTTGCTTCATGTAGGAGGGGATCTCCGTCATGAGAGTCCAGAAGCCCCAATTCTGGCCAGAGTGGGCGACGATGAGGGCGATGAAAGGCACCGACGTGAAGATTGCCTTCCATGGCGTTTTGAGTTTCTATAACAATAATAGATCTCTAGTAAAAGACTTAATCTAATACGTAATGGCAAAAACAGATCCTTTTGTACCCTTTGCACCACCNTTTTTGTTCTTAATTTTTGACCTGTTTCTTAGAAAACTTAAGCTCGTGAAACTACATTCTGTTTGATCTTGAATCCCTCTTAATTATCTATTATTACGCACATATTATACAGTCCACTTCTTTTACAACATTAAGCTTGCCTGGTCTGAAATTATGTTGATCCCGACTGGCCGTGGTCTCTTCCACGTGGTACTAGTCTGCCCTATACTAGAGTGTAATTTAAAAGCCGGAGGCGCGGAGGGAGTGCGGTCCTCGCTCGCTGTAACATATATCCGGCAGCCACATGGCATGCCGGGTATATGTTACGCCAGAGCGGAAGGACCGCACTTCCCGCAGCGCCGGAGATAAGGCAATCCTAATGCTTGCTTGCATGCTTGCATGCATGCTTCCTTGCTGCTTGCTTGCATGCTTGCTTGCTGCTTGCTTGCATGCTTGCGTGCTTGCTGCTTGCTTGCATGCTTGCTTGCTGCTTGCTTGCTGCTTGCTTGCTGCTTGCTTGCAGGCTTGCTTGTTTGCATGCTTGCTTGCAGGCTTGCTTGTTTGCATCCTTGCTTGCATGCATGCTTACATGCCTCCTTGCAGCTTGCTTGCATGCTTGTTTGCATGCTTGCTTGTCTATTTATATTTGTTAACTTATAACATTTTTATATTTCATATTTGTTAAAATTATGGTATTTTGTATATTATTAATGATAATATTTATGGCATTGGTTTAGATGCCAATAAATGTTATGCCTAGAAATCGTTATTAAAAAAACAAGTATACAGAAAAAATATATACTAAAATATTATTATATTAAAAGTGGTTATGGCAAAAAAAATATGCCTTATGAATTATTCTGTATGAACGTTATGCGAAATGATGAGGATGCCAAAAAACTTTATGCACTCTTAAATTATGACAATATTTTTTATGCAACCGAATATGGACCCCATTTGTACATTCCATTATTTAATTTTAAACTCTTACCTTTTGTTCACCAACATGTCCCAAAGAAGTGAGTATGTACATTTTTTCTTCATCGCTAATAACTTTCGAAGTTTGTGGCGTTGATGAACCCAAAAAGACATAGACGGCGGCCCAGACAGCCCCAATGGTGCCGTTGACATAAAATATGGCCGGCCACCCCCAGTAACTGGATATGAAGCCCGAAATCATAAGCTGGACAGCTGTCCCCAATTGTCCTCCTGTAAAAATACAATATTTGACCATGTCAAAATTTTGGCTCACAAGATCGAGCACATCAAAATGAGTCGTTCAAAATATTGACTTCAAATTAAATTGACGTAGCCCAAAGTAGGTTGTGGTTAACTAATTTATTACCTGAATGAACAAAAGTTCCAAATCGACTTTTTTCCTCCAAAGGAAACCATTTTCCAATGAGGTGGTGCATTGAAGGCACCAGGAATCCTTGCGACAGACCCTGAATAACGCGGCAAGCGCATACCATTTGCCATCCACCCTGAAATCATTAGTGACAGTAAATTCTTCGTTTCAGCCAAATGACGTCCACTGCTGGACAAAGGCCTCCCCCAAGGCTTTCCATAAAGACCGGTCCTGCGCTGGCCAGATCCAGGTTCTTTCCGTGACCTTCACCAGATCGTCGGACGACCTAGTAGTAAATTCCTATAATACCTATTTTTCAACCTGCATACCAACTCGGAAACTTACATAATATGCTCCAATTGGTATCAATAAGGATACAGCGGAGTTGACGACAATGCAGGTCAAGACAAGGACCTTTCCCCCAAATCGGGCTGCCATCTCACCGCCAGGCACTTGCAGGACAGCGTAGCCCCAGAAGAAGGAAGACAGGATGAGACTCTGCGTCTTAGAGCCCCAATCGAAGGACTGGAAAGAGAAAAAAAACTATGTCAATGAGTTCTATCATGATCATCACACCTTTTTTTCAGTTCCTGGTAAAATGTCTTTCAATAATGCAATTACATTTTTAACAACATTGGTCTTTCAGCATTTTTGCTATATTTTATATCTCACAATTTCGGAATTTAGTTTAATTTTTATACACTTTAAAAATCGCCCCGTAAAATGCGAGCTCACTTAATTCTATATTTTTGACTGACAAAATGGCTTGGAAAATTTCCGTGTCACACTTTCCCACATAAAATAACCCTTTCTTAATACACAAACAATTTTTCCATGGCCGCTGCATATTTTAATCTCAATTTTCACAGCACATCCGCATTCCCTGGATATCCACACAGGAATTCCCTTTATAAGGTTGTGGAATCTGTCATACTCGCAAAGCGTTTGCCAAAGAGGAATCTGGTGGCATATTCACTATGTTTTTAGTGGCATGTTGTTATTTTCGGATATCCTTGGACATTTTAAATGGTGCCTTCAAAAAGTAGAGTACTTACCTGAAAACAAATTCCTTAATCATTCTACGTTTTTTAATATTTTATAACTTGAAAATACATAAGTTACAGTAGGCAAAAAGTAAATGTTCGTCCACATACAATGTTTATATTGTGCGAAATATTACGCGAATCACCAAGCCGCCAATGTCTCTGAACTAATTATTCATACTTGACCGAGTGGTCAAATCATTTTGTTTTCTATTACATTTATTTTATAAATTTTGTCGCATGCTTTTTTGGATTGTGTTCCGGACTAGTAAATATATCAGCTTATAGTCGTTATGACGTCTCCACGCATTCACTGTTCGTGCTTAATCAGCGGGCTGCGGCATGCCGATTGGTTGCGGTGAGATTAACTCGCTCGCGGCGACAACAATTAACACGTCCGATGCCAATACTGTTATGCAATTATAAGTGGACCAAACAACAATATTATTAAGTGCTCTATGGCAGAGGAGTTGCTGAGGAACTTTTTATATTTTTTTCTAGAAACCATAAATAGAGTTAATACGAAAATATGTTTTTGTATTATTTTTAGTAACCTAGGTAGCACTAAGAACGTTCGCCTTTGTTTGTGACGAACGTGACAAATGAGTGTAACAACAAAAAGTAACATGAATGACGATTAATGACCTGCCTAACTACTTTATAATTCAAAGTTATGACTTTGTTGTTTTCTTCTACAACGAATGCAGGAGATTGTAACGTCATTGTTTTTGGCCGACCTCAACATTGACACTCAAGGGTACGCTGACGACCTTGTTGTCATAGTAAGGGGCTTCTGCCAAAGTACAATATCTTCCATAATGCAAAGAGCGCTAAACACCATAGGTGGGTGGTGCAAAAGAAACAGTTTATCAGTTAACGCTGATAAAACTGTCATTATTCCATTTACCAGGCGTAGACAGTTGAACAAACTAGTCAAACCCTCTCTAAATGGAAAAGAGATCGAGTTTTCCACGGAAGTCAAATATCTGGGCGTCACTATCGACCAGAAACTTACATGGAATACTCACCTTAATAACATCATACAAAAGGCAAAAATTGCCTTAGGCTCCTGTAGCCGCATGATNAGAGTAACGCTGAGATGGGTTCCAGGTCATGCGGGAATCGAGGGCAATGAAAATGCCGACGAACTAGCCAGAGCGGGAGCGGAGGGAACACAATATGGTCCAGAACCCTTTTGTGGTGTTCCCAAAAGTCTCGCTCGAATGACCCTGGAGAACATCTATTTAAACAAATCCTTTATGGCATGGTCAGACACGCCAGGATTAACTCATTCCAAAGCTCTCATAAAAGCCTATGATCGAAAAAGCTCTAAGCAGATCATAGGACTGAGTAGGACCAAAATGCGCATCTTAGTTCGAGCCCTCACTGGACACTGCAGCTTAAACAAGCACTTGTCCACTATGGGACTGTCCGAAACAAGAACGTGCAGGATGTGCCAAGAGGCAGATGAAACGCCACTACACATGCTCACGGACTGCGGACCTCTGATGCGCAAGCGGAGCTTACACCTGGGCAAACACATCCTAAGCCCACAAGATGTAAAACATATCGCCCCCCAAAAGATACTGCACTTCCTAATGGATGCAGGACTCGGAGGCGAACTGTAAGGAAAACAGCGGCGATCACAATAGATCGATAACGGTCGCAGTGATACTAGGACTTTATTGAACTAGAATAGCCGCTCAACACAAATAAAAACGTCATAGTGATAAAAATATTGTTCGGGTTGATAATGACTCTCCAGTGTTCAACAAATACTATCAAGATGAAAATACAAATTAGACATTTACCTTGTGCGCTTACTTATCCTTATTTAGTTAGAACATTGCAGACTTAAATAAAACAGTGTAGGTGAATTATGAGCCGGAACAAACCTAAATATTTGAAAATAAAATATGACATCAGTCTTCGTAAGGTATTAAGGCCCATGGAGACTGACACAAAGATGTAAGTTTGTTATAACTCAACTTATTTGATGGACGAAAAGGATCAAGTCAGCCGACATTATAAAGGACCCTCTCCACGATTGCGCTGTTCCAGTAATTTCCTGATCAATGAATGGCAGGGCTGTCCAGGGGCTGATTAGTTGCGGCCAGCGCTCCATCCTTCGTGGACAGCGATGGATTTATGGCAGCCGCTATGTACGATGAGCAAACATCTAATCAAAACAACGTTATGTACCTACGATCGCTTGCTGATGATGCACAAGCTTCAGATTTTTATTAACTAACTACAAAAAGGAGGAGATTCTCAATTCGAGTACCTAATGTTTTTTTGCACTGGAAATGGTGTAAGTTCAAGTGTTTTTATTATTGAGTTTTATTGGGTCGAGAGATGTTACATTAATTTGCAACTCCTTCATAGCGAAAACTTGAAAGTAGAAACGGTTTTGGTAAACATGACATGGTCGAAAATGCTAATGTGAAACTTAATAATACGGGTAATATTTATAAATTGCATAATTAATGTTGTCTTACATGACTTTACCCTGTCATATTATCTTCCGATGCACTCAGTTCTCTCTCTTTATAATATCAGCTGAAGACCGCAATGTGGGGGCGACATCGCGATAGTTTTATCATCGGCTCTCGAATATCGGTGTTCATACTTTGTCGCTCGAAATAATCGTGTCGATATTTCCGCTGGTCTCAAAGCAAAAAAAGTTAAATGGGGAAAATGAGGTAAAATTATCATCATCAATAAATATACACCCGACACATTTTAACGCTCTTAAGAAACTATGGTTCTATTAACCGTGTTCCAATATTACCTAAAGACGGTGTCATAATAGACGAAGCAAATACTGAAGATCCTATGAATAATATCCCACTTACCCTTAGACAATTGCACCTGATATTAAGTGCATGCAGTCTAGGATGATACTACCTGCCTTGTAAGCGCCTATCTACTCTTGCCTTGAAAAGGCCCGGATTATAGTGTTCAGCATAGTATCAAATCCACTGGATCCAACCAGCAAGCCTTACATTTTCAAGGTCGGTGTCGGTCATGGAGACGATGGCCATGCTCATGTTGACGCGCATCCCGTAGGCGATCAGCATGGCCAGGAACAGCAGCAAGGCTTGGGCATGGCGAACTCCGAGGCAAGCACCTGGAACAGAGAGCATAAAGATAGAAAGAAAGGAAATAATTTTATTTTGGCAAAAACTTAGACAACACAAGACATACACATAAAAAAACTAAACAAAGTTGCAAAAAAGGTTACCCACTCAGTAATATCTTGACAATTTAACTGCCAAGACACTGATTTTCAGTGGGTGCATAAGGATGTGGGAATTTTCTACGTACTTTTCATCAATCATTTTCGTTTAGTAGAAGGAAGACCCTCTCTAATTTACCAGAGGCAAACGGGTGATTTCGCCTACACTTCCCACGCTGCACATACGAGTTGGGGAAGTCATCATTATTATCATTAAATATAATTTAGTGACAAAAAAGTTATTAAGACATAATAATCTTATCTGTTGTCTGAAAACCCCATAGTACAAGATCGGCTGTTGGGGATGAGGGAATAGTGTAATCAGAAATTTATTTATTTTAATTTTACAAGCAGTGCAATGACTGTAAGAGAATGAGTTTGTGCTTAACATTAATGGCCATTACTAGTCCGTATAATTTATAATTCCGTGAAAATAAGTCACAAAAANATTGAGACCATACTCTTCATGTCTAGTGTAAAATAATATTCCCTACAAAATTCAGGTTACCATATAGGAAACCTAAAAAGACCTTAAACCGTCAGCCCACCTTAAAAACATGAAAGAATACAACTGTTGGTCTATTTGTACTTATAATATTTAAAGAATTATCCTCCAACTCCTAAGCATTAAGGAGTTGTACCTTCTATCATCAGCTCATCAATATGAGATGATGATTTCCAGGAGCAAATATATGAATAACTTAAGAAAAAGTTTGAAAAACGATATACGTGCCTATAAAATTTGAGGGTTGCTCTCGATTTCCCTAGGATCCCATCATCAGATCCTGACTTGGTGACAATGGGACCACCTCAGAAGTGTACCCTATCGAACAAAAAAAGAATTTTGAAAATCGGTTCATAATTGGCGGAGTTATCGCGTAACAAACATAGAAAAAAAAAAAAAAAACATACGGGTCGAATTGAGAACCTCCTCCTTTTTTTGAAGTCGGTTGAAAAGATTGTCTATACTGCCCGTTTATAGAAATATCTTTCAACAGTATCAGTATGCATTTGTAGGTATACTTGTATCGAATTTTCATAAAAGATTAGGCAATTTAAAATATTAAGCAATCGAAGAGCTATCTTAGCCAAAGGATGAGACATTTAGGTATTAAATTGATGTTGATAACAATGACAGAATTATCAGTTGCATAATTTTTGTTTACGAGATCGGCTGAGATTTCAAAATGCGATATTATACAGGGTTATCTCTAATTTCCAAATTTTGATCAGATCTGAACACGAGAGCAGATAGTTTAATTTGATAAACTTGTCATGTGATACATCAACTTGTAGACTGTGAGCATGTTACAATAATGCTTTTCATGATGATCAAGGAGGTACAGACTGATAACAGGACATCAAGCTAAATACTGTGACTTCTTAATCGGTCGTAATAAGTGCTATTTTGCAAACAAAATTGTTTAGTCTGATGCGAAATCGGTATAGGTTTGATGGACATGCGAAGTGGGAAATTATTGTCCCCTTTCTTTTTGCTAATGACATGACCTTGAGATGTTTCTTGTTTTGATAATTTTGTTATGTAAGTACTCTTCTGCTCGCGACAGTTAAGGTTATCTTAAGAGTAGTGTCAAATTTAATGATAGGTGTTTGAGATCACTAAAACTTATCAGTGAAAAAAATCCCCAATCAAGAAATGATATCCTGACCAAAAAGTAAACAAAGTTCCATATTTTATTCTTATAGGTACTTTATTCTTTCGGGCAGTTGGATTATTGCGTTTTCAGGCCTCTAAAATAATTTGGATGAATTCGGCTATAGAAAATAATTAATTATTATTCTTAGTTATAGGTAGCAATAAGAAAACTTGTTTTTACTCTTTGGGTGATTTAAGAGCGTTTACGCCGTTTTGCGCAAAAACAGTACTTTTACAACCCGTTACAATCATTAACCAGTTATTTCGTCGTCTAAATAGTTAGTTGAGAAAATAAATTTCGATTAGTATAGCATTCAAGAATTCTATCAAGATAAGTCTACAGAGGTTTTCTCAATTTTCACTTTAGCGTCAGTTTAGAAGTTTAAAATTTTAAAAAATACTGTAATAAATAATAAACAAACATTTATATCCGATTGCAAAGATCCTTGGGAAAATAGATAGGTAGTTGAGATATTTTTTTTACATTTAGACATTTTAGGTACAATAAGAAATAAGAAATTCAAACAAAGTGAAAAACCCAGAAAATAAAGTTATTTTTACACCAATATTCTTCTTTAATTCAACAGAAAAATAACTTAAAATAATAAAAGAACATTTTATTTCAAATATTTACTTTGAAATTACAGTATAATTAATTTGTTGTTATTATTTTTCTATAAACATTTGAAAACTATTAAAACGCCGCGCGTGAATCATTTCCAATGATGCCCCTTGATACGCCGCTAGACGTAAACGCTCTTAAAACACACGGAAAGTAATTATTACATTTGTAATAACTTAATTGTTATCTAAACATTAATGTTAGCTTTAATACCTAGTGTTTATAAGCTGAAGTGTGTCACAATAAGTGTACCTTACGTAGGTACAGGTAATCCGTTGAGGTGATGACTATCTGCTATGTACCTATTACTCGTTCGGGAAAAACAGATACGGTTATTTACAAATAACTGGTTTTAAAGGAAAAAACACCGACTTTGCGCATCGTTGTGTAATGAATAACTCATGAACGGGATACATTTTCTTGGAATTTAACAAATTGATGTTTTTTTAATGGGACTTTAATCTGACTATTTATCTTAGCTTCAATGCCTTACGATGCAGTTATGTCCCAAATACAACTTTGTTTTAATACAGGGTGATTTTGTAAACAGTATCCAATTTTTTAATAAGCTCCATAGAACAATTTATCAATACTACTTTATCTTAATTATTTTTAGTGGTATATTTCTAAAAAAAAATATATCGAAAATCTAATTCGCGGGTGCCCATTGCTGTGCCAATTTTAACCGACTTCAAAAAAGGAGGAGGTTATAAAATATCTTCAGCTGTATGTATTTTTTTTCTATGTAACGTCAATTGAGGACCGATTTTCAAAATTATTTTTTTGTTCGATAGGGTACACTTCTGAGGTGTTCCCATTGCCACCAAGTCAGGATCTGATGATGGGATCCTAGGGAAATCGGGGGCAAACCTCAAATTTTATAAGCACGTATTACGTTTTTCATATTTATAAAAAAGTTAAGGTAAGGCACCGACTCCAAGAATATCAATCATAGTCAAACATTTGTCCTAATAAATAAATAATGTAATTATTTTCTACTTTTTAGTGCAGGTTTTTTGGAGTCGGTTTTAATTTTTCNATTTTTCTACTTTTTAATGTAGGTTTTTTTTTGATTGCAAATTCACCCAGTATAATAAATGCATAATATCTCTTCTCACAAAACACTAAAGAAAAATAAACAATTCGACATCCTGCTAAATAAGGTGTAGAGTTTTCATGAAATTGTCACTTAAGTCATGATTGATGGAACCAATAAATATTATTTCATTCGAATAAAATATGCAGAATACGTTGTAATTATTATACTTACTTGGCTTGCTAACGGTGCTTTCCTCTTCACTTTTCATGTTTCACAAACGTTTGACAGTCAATTAAACAACTTATTTTTTACAACATAAAACCTATTATTTGTGATCAACAGTTTTTATTTCGTCTTATTAACAAAAACGTTACTTTGTTATAACCGCAACGACTGCTGGCGGAGTACTACGTCTCTGTTATCTGTAGTTTTTACTATCGAAGGCTTTGATTAGCCACGGTGACCATAAATTTGATTAAATCCAAGACTTTCAATATTTCTATTCTCATCACTAAGAAGTCTCATAATGCCATAGCTCAGAGCATCTCGTTCGTTTCAGCCAAATGACGTCCACTGCTGGACAAAGGCCTCCCCCAAGGCTTTCCATAATGACCGGTCCTGCGCTGTCCGCATCCAGGTTTTCAGCCTGAGACCCTCTCATTTTTATAAAATAAATAGTCTTACTATGTATGTAACGTATTTATACGTATAAATAGGTAGTAAGACTTCCGCTATTATTTTTGGTGTATGTATAGTTGTCTAAAGAAATACTTCCAAAAGTTTCATTAAACAAACAATCGCCTTATTATTGTTTTACTCCTTCAGAGCCATTGTTTAGTAGTAAACTAATCAGTTGTCACGTCTCACGAACTCCAAAACGATTAGTCACCCTTCATCCAAGTATTGTGAACGTCACGGTCGTGCGTCTTCAGCGAAGAAATTATTCTTATTCTGCGTTGTTCATTTGTTTTACATCAACAATTCCTGCAGGTGTGTTTGAACCTTTAGAATTTGGTAGTTGACCTGATCAATGAACGCCGTATTCACAAACGATGCTTGCTTAAGTGAAGCAGCAAATCGAACGCACAGCATTGAATAGAGCTCTGTGTTTGGTTCGTGGGTGTCACTCCGCCATTCAAGTATTGTCTTTGAATAGGTTTTTGGGACAATGTGCATCCGCACTGTGAGACCTCATAGTAATATTTGTGAATACGGCTGTAAGTGCTGTTAAACCCACCGTAGGTTAGGTATAGAAACAGGTAAAATGGGAAAGTTAGATAGAACGAAATTAAGTGAGAGAAGTAGTGATTTTGGAGTTAGCTTGAATAAACCAAGCTAAATCCGTTTCATATTTCATTATTATACTCGTACACAGTGAATATGTTTTATATCATTTCGCTAACGAGTTCCTGTAATGCTTCAAAACAAAATTATGTCTTCTAAACATTAGTTGAGACAACACAATGGCTCATTAACTGTTCGTCAATAAGGTGACAAAGTGAGACAAGGAATGCAGCAAAAATGTACATTATTTATTTCAAGAATGCAGCTGAGTGACCTTACACTTTAGTTTTTATTGCATTCCTATTGTTACATCACAGATTATTTCTGGTACACTGCGATTGTTACGGTTAGTAAATATTTAGGTACATACTCACATAATAAAACACAGATTTATAAAAATAATTTATTATTTTGTTACTTATCCTAAATAAATACCCTTATTATTATGACTTGGTCCACAGAAGTAGTTACTAATCATTTATATCTTCTTTTGTTCTTAAACTTCACAAAAATTGCAACTTCAGAGCAACCATGTCCTCGTCGCAATGTCAACTTTTAATTTTCTCATTTTTCACAGCTCTATATCCTGAAATACAAAAACATAATGTCAGAAGAAAGAACAAAAAATTTTTCCGTTTTTAAGAACAATATTTCTACAAGAAGATTCATTCGGGTCCACAATCGATGCTTGCTTAAGTGAAGCAGCAAATCGAACGCACAGCGTTGAATAGAGCTCTGTGATTGGTTCGTGTGTCACCCTGTGCGTTCACGCGCACTATGAGACCTGCATGCACATTTAGTACAGTAGAGTACAGTACGGTCTTTTCATTCATTTTATGTACAGACGACAGAATGTCAATCTTATCTTATTACCTAGTTGCGATAAAAGCTATTTTTCAATAAAAATATAAATTCTGATGTGCTGTCGCTTGTTCTTTATGGAAATCAAGGTTTCAAGAGATAAATTCCTCACCCAATAACTCCTCATCAGGATCGTTCCACCGCTGCCGCTCGCTGGTGCCGTAAATGATGAAGATGGTGTTGGTGACGAAGTACACTACAGCTGATAGGCGGAACACCACTCGCCACTCATTTTGATCAGTCTGAAATTAAATTAAAATTGTTGTAGAAGTAGAATTAATGAAGTTATAGTGGATTTATAGAGCTGTAGTTTTGAATTGGTAATTTAAAATAATAATAAAAAAACATGGGCTTCCCCCAATGATATAAATGACCGGTTGTTAGCGGCCTGCATCCAGCGCCTTCCTGCTACCGCAACCTTTATGCGGTCGTCGGTCCACCTTATGGGCGGACGTACCACGGATCCAGAACCTTCAGAATAACCATGCTGGAATATAAAATCTGATACCATGGGGTTCAACTACACCCATTAGACGTCATAATAAATAGTCGTTTAATTTCTAGATTATTTTTTATTAATTTTCTAAGTATTTCATAGAGCGTGCTAAATTTCCTATGTAGATTCTATACTTTATGTACTTACATCGTCCTTCAGAATGGCTCCAGCGACGAGCGGTGCTACGATAGAGATGATGTTAGCCAGGAAGTTCGTGATTCCCATCATGGCGCCTGCAAAGTTGGGGGCCATGTCGATGTGGACCAACTGTAAAGAGAAATTATAGACTTTACCGTGTTTCTATTTGAATTTCCGATACTTAGTCTTTACACACGTGTTCTTTACGTGTTTTTCACTGGTAGAGAATGCTACATGGCATTAAGTTCGCCTTTTATACCGATTTTTTGTGCAATTAAAGATTTTGAATAAATAATATAATTTTGAATAAATCGGCAAAAAACACAAAGAAAGGTCGCGCTCATCACCCCTTTGAATGAGGGCGTTTTTGGAATGCAATTTTTCGGAATATTTCCAAGCTTATTAAAACTTAAGGTTATTTACCAGGAACCCCGTGAGATGGCCAACGTTGAGAGCCACAGCTATGGTGAATAGCGTGGCTGCGGCTGTGATGCTGGGAGGCACATAGCAGAGGACTATGAGAGCTGTCGCTGCACCGTAGTATCCTGAAAATAAAGTTAAACTTTTTACAATAGTAGGTAATGTGTCTGTCTATACTTGATAAAGAGTATTTTCATCTTTCAGACAATAATGTAACATCTAATAACTATCTTGGACACAAAACTGGTTTACGCCCATATTCACAAACATTACTATGAGGTCTCTCAGTGCACGTTGACGCACAGGGTGACACATGAACCAATCACAGAGCTCCATTCGACGCTGTGCGTTCTATTTGCAGGTTAACATAAGCAAGCATCGTGTGTGAATGTCGAAAAAAGGGTTTGACACAGATCGTCCCTCGCATTTCGTCTCAAACTCAAAAAAAAATGACATTAATTTTGTCCCTTACAAACTCACGGTCACCCTTTAATAGAAGAATGTTCAATAAGTTTTAATAGAAGCATATTTTAATAGTTAATGGAAAAATCATAATGAGTTTATTAATAAATGCATTAATTTGTATTGTTAATAATAGGTACTTACCAATAGAATTAGATACCTTTCTTGCTGCACTAAGGCTTAACCAGTTTTTCCTGATCACGTAGTCTACCATCACCCCGAAGGGTAAACTGAGGAGATACATCGCTAGATATGGCAATGCCGATAACATCCCGTTCTGTAAGGAAACACCTAAAAATATCATTTTCATACAGAATTATGCAAAATTATTATCAAAAGATACCTCTTTATTTTCAAAAAGGTTTAATTTAGGTCATAGCACATTAATCAACCTAGAAACGGATCAATAGTGTCACTTTTACATTTCGGCGAGGCGTTTACGTTACGGCTCGGATAAGTGTTATACAGAGTTTGATACTAAGAATACTGACAGCCTCGAGTTACGATCCGTTTCCGGGTTCATAAGTCTGCTTCCTTTACTCTTGTTAACAACTTACGGATTTAATATCGACGCCCAAAACTTTCTTCATATAGGATGGCATTTCAGTCATAAGGGTCCAGAATCCCCAGTTATACCCACAATGGACCACAATCAACGCCACAAAAGGAACCGATCGTAGCAACGACGTCCAGGGAGTGTCGTATTTCTGTAAATAATAATAACAAATGAAAAAAGATATGAGCATATTGGTTTGATTTAGTATTTCTTTCAAACGTGTTATCGATAAAGTACGAGTATGTATCCATTTATTTATCGGTCAACAAATAGTTTTTCATGAAAACTAAAATATTTCTTTTAAGATTACATTTTGTTACAAGTGGCTGGGGTCTCCTGTTTTTACAAGTTGAAAACCACCGGAACAACGGATTTTGATGAAACTCCATAGTAGCACGATATCAGAATATAGGCTACTAATACTTATCAGTAACTGTAACATGTGGGCTAAGCCGCGATTATTTGATGCGTTGTTTTCTATAATCGCGGATTTACTGATAATGAAGTATAAAAGAAAGATTACTTTCATATTTTTCAGCTAAAAAATCTACATATTTTCGGCTAACACCCAAGCAAATAAATAATTTTTAACATTTGCAAGATTTTTTCTAAATATTTTTACATACAAAAAACTTAAACGAGCCATAAACAAGTGTTAAAAATTACATTTACGTACTAAATGTCTATTAAAACAAGTGTTCATCGCCCGTTTAACTGTAATCGCCATCAGGATTGTAGGTTTAAGCTATGGCTCAACTTGGAACAAGATGAATTTTATCTAGAAAAAATATTTCACTTCTCTAACTTTTTAAGATATAAAATAAACAATTCATTACCTTATCCGACTCTCCCAGAGACCTCACGATATACTCTCTCTCCTCCTCACTGATGACCCTCGAGTCCTGAGGCGATGATGACCCCAAGCAGACATAAAACCCTGTCCACACCACTCCGAGGACGCCGACACTGTGGAAGATCATAGGCCAGCCCCAGTACTCGGCTATGAAGCCGGAGAACATCAGCTGGAGAGCTGTTCCTAGTGATGAACCTGAAAAAGGATAATTAGAGAGTGGATTTGAATCGCTATTGTTTTTAAAAACCTTGAAAATATTGAAAGTAAATCTTGCCTTTGATAATATTTTTCAACCAGAATTATTGTAGGTGAAACTAATTGTAATAATCATGAAACTGACG